CCAGCTCGCGAGCTGGCCGATCTTACGGTTGGGCCGGAACATATATAATTTGACGACAAAGACGAGGTATCGTGCTTTGAAAACCTATCGCGGTGTTACCTTGTTAGTTTGTTCACATTAACAGCCCGGTGGCTTAGAACCCGTAATAAACAATGGCGACATTTGGACTTCATGCTATGCATATTAATGAGGATTCAATTTTAATCTGCAAAGTGCGCATTTGACGTTTAGAAAATTAGGCCTCGGCTATAACGAGGACTCCGGTCCATTGGTAGCCAATATGAGTTAAACCGTATTTATAACCCGGAATCTATCTGATCAACGACGTTATGCCCACTATATTGCCACCAGTCTCGACAGGTCTGCGCCATGATCGACGGGATTTGGCACTCGGTGATCAAATCAGGGCGTTCCTAGGTTCTCTTTATCAGCCAAGTTCGCGCCATCCATTAGTACAAAGCGACAAAATAAAGAGTTGTTTAGCAAGGAATAGTGGTTATAACTCACCATAACGTTCATAGACAGCCCATCACTAATATGCCAAGCGACATGACAATGGAACGGCCACACCCCAGGATTATCGGCCAAGAAATCAATCACCACATAACTCGGTTTGCCCGGACTGGGATACCCCCAATCGATGATGTGTGTGTCCCTTCGCTGCGGGTTCTCGGGCCGCGTGATGACTCCGTCCCATTCCCCCACCCCCTCAGCGATGACCCAGAAGCTATGGCCGTGGAGGTGCATGGGATGCATAATGGGGATTCGGCTGCGCACGATGAGGCGGATCGAGGTGCTATTACCAAAGTTGTAGACGTTCCATTGCGGGTCGTCGGGGTAGGAGGTGTTGCCTAGCTTTGCGAGGAGAAGTATTGGGTGGCTGAGATTTTGTGTTAGGAGTTGTGAGGAGTGAGTGAGTAGGTGGACTATAGGGTGTGGAATAGGGAGTATTTAACTCACTCAAAGTTAGCTCGGAAAGACTGGTTGTTTATGGTCCACAATTCACTGCCTGTGGCATTAGTTTGGAAGTCAATGTCGACTATCTGCGTAAAGTCAGGCTCAGGAGGAGGCGCCATAACAAAAACAGGCTTCGTCATATTAAGAGGGTCGTTTGAGCAACTCGTCTCATTGTAAACTGTAGCTTTGGATGTTGGCGTAGTGGAATTGTCAGATTCCTCATAGTGGATTATAGCGAGAGCATGAGGCTGGTTGGTATTGCTACATCTCTTGCTAATGTCGCTTCTCATCCAGAATGATTCTGTAGGGCGGCCCGTTCCTCTAACGAGAACGTCACTACGCTGCCCAACTCCAAGCGTGATAACATCTGTTTCATAAGGTTTAATAGGCACGTAGTCGTTAGCAATTACTGTCATGGTGTGGCCATCGATAGTAAATCTCTGGGTCCCCTCTGATCCAGAGTTAATAAGACGTAGTCGGTGTACCTTTCCAGACACCAATTTGAACCTTGATAAGCTAGCATTAGGCGTGCAATTTGTTTTCGTGAGAGAGCAGTCATAATCCATCTTGCCATTAATGAGATTGTTGTCTGAATTTGGAACAGCTCTGGTTCCTATGTAGCGCTTAACAAGCTCGAAATAACCCGTGTGGTAATGGTCAGACTAGCTAAGTAAGCCACTTGTTTCTGAACAAGAATTCGATCACGTACCAGAAGTATAGGTCCAAGGTCATAATCATAATGTGTATGAGCAGGTCCGTGGATTATCATAGCCCCAAAAATCCCGTCTGCGTACTGAGCGCTGTAGTGAGAGTGATACCAGCTTGTGCCATAAAGGCCCGCTTGAAACGTATACGTGAACGAGCTCCCTGGTGCAATAGGGCATTGAGAAACTATTAGTTACGTTAATATAATGCGATTTACATCAAAAACTAGCAATATTACCTGATGGTATACCATCAAACCAAGGTGTCTGATCTTGATGCAGACCATGCCAATGGAGACTGGTTCCTTCTTCAGGACCTGTGATATTATTTGTCACTGTTATCTGTCCAATTTAGTGAGTTTGATGCTGCAACTAAACTCAGTGATCTCACCTGAAATGTATCTCCCCAGTTCGCTTCAATAGTCGGACCAGGAAATTGTCCGTTGATTAGTATACCATTTTTTTGGACGCCATCTGGTGCTAGGGTGCCGCGCTCAATGACAAAATTATATGGGCGGATTTTTCCAGTATACGGAGCATGGCGGGGATCTGTGAGATTCGTTGTCGCCAGTCCCCATGGAAGTCCATAAGGTAAGGGCTTCTAACCATTAGAAAGTGCCGAAAGCACGAGAGGGAGACTTACGCCGTCCGTTAGAAATTTGGGCATGTAAGGAGCAGACAGCGTGCCTAATAGAGAGTGTCCTAGAAAACAATGTATAATCAGTTTCCATTATCTTAGTTGTAGAAGTCTAAACGCCATTAATACCATTTGTAGCGACTTGCGGCAGAGAAGCTATTAAATTTGCCGAGTCGAAGATGGACCGGAAGGAGAACTTCATATCGACGTATTACTCTGGGAAGAGCGAAAATAATCCACAACAACAGAGATCTGAAAAAAATAAGATTCCCAGGTGATGCCATTGATTAAAAATATACATAGTCGTGAGCAGTCCTTATAGCTACACCTGTAGAAGAAAATGGGTTAAGACAATCTAGGATCGGCTATGGCTCCGTCGTAACAAATAAACGTTGCCAAGAGACACAGTAGAGAGTCGGGCCAATAAACACCTATGATAATGTAGGATGGCTATGAAACTGTCTCAATAACCGCTGAACACGGAGAGACAGGAGTTAAGACAATAAACACCTGCAACACCTGTCTCCAGTTGCGCTACACAGCCCAACATGAAACAAAAAATATGTGCGAATTCCGCATCCAGTACTCATATCACTCCGCAGTGCGGAGTGATATGAGTACTAGATCCGGAGCCACCGCAGTTACACTTCATGGCTTGTCCGCTCACTCAACTCACCTGTAGGCATCCAATATCGCTGTGCAATGCGTCGTAGTCGAGGTCAGATGGGTGAGGGAAGGTGAGACATCCAGTAAATGTCATTTGATGGATATATCAAATGGCATTTACTGGATGTCTCACCTTCCCTCACCCATCTAGGGGGATAACCGGATTGTCATGAGGCATCAAAAACATAAGGGTGGCGACGCTCACCCAGTAGTCTAAATGGCACCGTCCTAAGTATTAATCCACTTCAAGCTTGAGATCGGTGGATTAGTAGTTGGGTGGGTGACCACCAGCGAATACCCTCTGTTGTATGTTTTTGTCATTTTCTGTCATTTTCTGTCATTTTTTGTCGTTTTGTCTGTCGAAAGCTACTGCCACCTTAAAGATGAACTGTAGCCTCGAATTCGTGAATGTCCATATATTTTGATGATCAAACAAATTTCTAGGTATTTCATTTAGATATTTTAAGTATTTTAAGTATGCCGGATGTCAAATTAAGTAATATCCCACCCAATGTCAAAACCCTACTCCTCGCTCTCATTCAAAATTTTGAGTACTGGCCGTCAGTTGACTGCTACCCCAGTCTAGGTGTTCCCAATATAACTCGCTCCTCGGTGCAATGCATATAGAAGAAGTCAACAATAAACCCCTATCCACATCTCAAACAACCGCCTCAGATCCCGACCCGATCGTCCCCCTCTCCTTCTCAATCTTAAGCACCTTCTTCTGCTCCTCATCCAGCCCCGACTTCTTAAACCCACCCGGCAACACAACCCACGAAATAAAGATAACCCCCAGCAACGCCAGCGCGAAAGGTTGTAACACCCACACCCCCTTCGCCTGCGCAATCGCCCCAACAACGAACGGAAACACCGCCGCTCCCGAGCTACCAAACGCAGCCACGAACCCAATAGCACTAACGTGCAGACGCGGTGGCAGAAGCTTCGTCGCAACCATGATAGCAGCCGGAAATAGGGGCCCTAGGAAGAAGCCTAGGAATGCCGCGAAAATGGCCGAGGCAACGAAACTGGGAATCAGCCAGAAGAGCAGCTGCAAGCCCACGCTCAGGGCGAGATAAAGCGCCACAGCGAGCTTCTCCCCAATGCGCCCCGTCACGAAACCAAGCACAACACGGCCGGCAGTTAAACCGAGCCAGAAGCCCGTAGCTACCATTCCCGAGGCGAACGGCTCGCCCTGTCGCATCTGCAGCATGAACGTCACGATCCAACCCCCCAGCGCGACCTCGGCGCCGACGTAGGCGAGCAGGAAGACGGCGACGAGCCAGGTGATTTTGGATTTGAGGGCTTCGCGGGTGCGGGACTCGGGCGGGCCGGTGGTGGAGACGGGGTGTTTGGCGCGGTAGACGCTGCCGGTTGCCGAGCGGAAGGCGTAGTAGCCTAGCATGATCTCGAGGACTGCGAATCCAACCTGGGTGGTGTTAGTGGGGGGTTGCGGTTTAAGGGGGAGAGGGGAGAGGGGCGTACCATAACGTAGTACCAGGTGTACCAGTGCAGACCTCCTTTTGTGACCATAGCGGTCGAGATCAAGGGGCCAATGGCACCACCAAGTCCGTATGCGCCGTGCAGGATGCCCATCAACTCGTTGGCATTCTCCATGTTGCCCACCCACGCGTTCCAGGCTCCGTCTTCGAGGCCATTTCCGAGACCGGTCAAGACGAAAAAGACGGGGATGACTGGAAAGGGTGGGTGAACGCAGGTGATGACATAGGCAATGATCTTGCAGATTGGAGCAATAACAGCGATTCCAACTTGGCCGAAGCGCATGTGGATTTTGCTTATCATGAACGCGGAGAGGGTGTAGCCGGCGAAGGGGCTCAGGAACATGCAAGCTACAATAGTGTAGTTGATCTTGTAATATTCCTCAATCTGGGACCTTGTTAGTTCATTTTTCAGGTCAGACAGAGGGACAGGGCAAATAGTCTCTTACGTATGGAAGTAAAGCCTGTAGATTGAGAGTCAGTATAAAATATATATCTAATCACGTGGAGAAACTCACTCCGAGAGAGGCATCGCTCACGCCCATGACCAGGAAGGCCAGGAGAGTCTGAAGGTAACGAGTGATATTTGTGGATGAGGAATTCCATCTTTCCCGAGCAGGTTCAGCATCTTGATCGTGATCTTGTGGTTGCGCCGTTGAAATGGACGTGGCCGCCTCCTTTTCTATGTTGGCCATTTTCTCGTCAATGCTGTCAGGCGCTGGCGTGGTTAGAGAGGGGGGCGAGGAAGTGCCAAGCTCTCCCGCTGTTGGTGGGGAAGGATCCATCGACTTCATCTTTTTACGGAGCCCAACAGCGCTTCAAAAATAAAAATATAGACAAAGATGAAATTGAGGAGGATAAAGGAAAGGAAGGGAGACTGATATAAGAAAATCCGGACATAGGAACGGGCTTCAAGTGAGAAAGCTTGTTGGGTACTGGCTTACTCTTTGTGTGATTTGTGTGGTCTAGATGGGAGGGAATAATCATAGCTCCTCTTAGCCTTCCCATGGCCGCCGGGGTTCAACCGAGCTTTTTTTGATCTCGGACCAGAACCGACGAGTATTTACGCCGAGTATTTATGACGGATGGAAGGGTGTACTCCGTACAGGGTAAGCGTATACTATATCCGTATGCGATTTAATGCCCAGGATGCGATGTATGTGATGAATGTCATGTATGATACTACTCGTAGAATAGTGTGATGCCGGCGCATTGAGGCAAATCGCTGCTCCCCGCTTTGTACGTACAGCATGAAGAATTTGTTGCTCCTGACCTCGAACAACGTTGTCGTCTATTCCCATCAAAGGATGTTTTGCCGATGTCTCGCCGTCTCGTCCACGTTTCCGCGAGTCAGCATCCGGCCCGTCACTCCGCAGAATGTCTTGGTATTCTCGTGCCACCGGGATCTCCATAACCATTCGTCGTATGTTATTGTGATGAACTGCCGTAGTACTATATCGACTCAAGCGCATGTCCACACCATTCTATTAAGGGTATGTTTCGTTCTGGGACTTTTGTGGCGATCCCGGTGGTGTGCACCATCAGTGCAAGCTTGTTCGATCTCTAACCTTGCTAGTGCTTCTTGGAGCCAACAAAATAAAGCCACGGCGGCGCTGTGACTACAAAGCGAACATTAGGCACATTAGGCACATTCACGTCCTTGTAGAGTACTGTACTGTAGTTCAAGCATTTCTTCATTGTTTCAAGATGACCGAGCCTTCTGGTCCAACTCATCTGCTAACCTCAATAGATAGAACTTTCGAGTGTCAGGTGGTAGGCTTTCAAACGTGTTGCTGAGCTTGGTGATATCCTGTCTTCCCTTTTCATACGCCTGCAAGTCCCTGTTTCCATATACGTCCTTCCCCGCAGCGTACCCGTGCTGTAGACCTCTGAAGAAGACATTGACGGAAACACTTACTCCGTCCAATGGCTTCGCAGTGTGTAACCAAAGCGACGGCAGGAATAGTACATCGCCTGCGTTCATATTTGCTTCGTGCGGATGGCTTGGGGCTGCCTTGGTACCAGTTAAATCCCCAAAGGCATCTACGCTGGAGCTAGATGCCCCGGGCGCGAAATCAAAATACTCCACGTCGCCCGGAGGGAAGAGCAGAAGTCGTTTTTGGCCTCGAATTTGACAAAGAACGTTGGACATAACATCATAGTGAAGCCACATCGTGACCGGGCCCGAGATCCTCAGAGGTGAACTGTGCTTGTTCTCCTCAACCACAAGAAGCTCCGGTGGGAGATGGAAGTCTCCCGCTATTTCTGGGAAGTCTCGAGATATATCGGCAGGCAACTCTGATGGCTTGCCAATTGCCAATGATCGTAGATATAGCTTTTCGCCTTTGTCGATGGATTCGATGAAGTTGCCGAAGTCCTTCGTTACATATTGAAAGTTTTTTGATACGAAGTCCATGCGGTCCTCGTTGGCTTGGTGAACGGTTACCTGCATAAGTTAGAAAGCTTGAATTCTGGGAAAGGAAATGACTTGCATCTCGATGTTGACCGATACGGTCTAGAAGGTATGAATTTGTCCAGAGATCCGTACATGAGCCTATGTCGAGGCCCTCCAGAATTATTGGCTCCCCCGAAGACAAAATAGCCGCGAAATCGGTCCACGATGAAATCTTCTTCCGCGCGATGGTAATAGGCTCTCTAGGCTTCTGATTCTCAAGCGGTGAAGGCCGCAATGAGCTCTTGGGGGGTTGGCTCGACTCGGAATCAACAGTATTCAAATAACTCCAAGGCTCAGAACTACCAGTGACCTGCTTATCTGGCCCTTGAAAATTGCCACCATCATCTTCAGCAGGTAGGATGGTGTAACAGCCTTTGTTCCAAAATGTACCAAATGAGAAACATACAGCTCCTCCACCCATGATCAACAAGCTCCTGCCGGACGTTGCAATGGAGTGGCCGATTAATAGGGGCCTTGTGTCGCATCGTTCTATATTCGTTAGATTTGTCTTAATTCGTCCTGCTTCGGATTCAATATCGAGAGCAACTATTTCCGCGTGTTCTGGGATCAGGTTGGCAGTCATGATACCACCAACCACCAAGGATTTTCCATCATAGTTTGCCCAGCATGCGCCAAATCGGTGTAAATATAGGTTCTCCTCCCCGGCAGCTTTGTCGTTGCAGGTCCATGTTATTGACGGCTCTTGTGGATATCTCTATGACAAACGTTAGCTTCTCTCAGTGTAGTTTGGGAGGAATATATTACATGAAGCTCCCAGGACCAGAGATCCGTCGAGACTCGTCCGTCGGTTAACATTCCGCCAACAAGGAAGCCACTCGTCGTCGAGGTTGTGGAGATAACATCAGAGATCATCAGTGCGCCGAATACCTGTGGTTTACCATCCTGATCTAGGAGACACTCAGTCCAGCCTGTTTGACGGTTCCAAAGAAAAGTGTCACTCAGTACAGTCTTTGAATCCTTCTTTCCACCTGTCACAAGCACCGAGCCATCGCCCAGGGCAAATGCGGAGTGCCTGTATCTGGCTACTGGAATGTCATCAACACGTTCCCACGTATGAGATAGTTTCGAGTATAGCCAGCAGTCCGCGAAAGCCTTGTCTGGCGACGACCGTCCACCCACAAGCAGCGAACCACAATCTCCAATCTCTGTCAGAGTATGGCACATGCGGGTTTCGGGCTTTACACGTAGCGTAGGACCCGGAGGAGACGATCCGCCTTGCGATGCGCTTGTGAAGATATCAATTGAACCCAGTCGATTGTTCACCCCCATACCACCGAAATTGCCTTTTAAGTCTGGGCAACCATTGTCACCCTTGACAGATAATGACGCTCCAAACCTCCTTATCCCGTTTAACTTTGCGGACTCAGTGTATTCCATTTTCCCTTTCAGTGACACTGATTCAGAGTTCGTTTTTTCAGGAGAGGCGGCAGCTGTTTCCGTGCTCTGAGGCTGGGTTGTGGACAAGTGCACATTAGACGCCTCAAGAAGCGTGTAGTGGCACCCAAAAAGGGCAAATTCTTCCCACTCATCAAAGGGCTCAACTTCATCCAGGTGTATACGCTCTTCGGAAGAAAGGAAGTCTGAAGAACCCCAAAGTTCCCATAAATTCCGAGCACGCACATCTGCCCACCCGGCTTTTTTTAGTCGATTCTCCTGATCTTGTGTGGTTGGATATGCCAAAACAGGCCTCAGTGGCGTTTGAAGTTTGTCAAAATGCGCTAACATGGTTTTTCCAAATGGATGGCGTGGTCCGTTAGGGAGTAATTGCTCCAGGAGGCAAAATCGGGCTACGGAGTCAGCAGGTTGTCGGCTGTATATTTCGGACGGAAGACTAACAGTAGGGGAGTGATCCAATCCATCTGATCAGGGCATCAGATGTTGCAACATCCATATATGCAATCGAAACCTCTGCAGTGCAGAATACGACGCTGTTACTCAAGTCAAACTCCGAAGAGAAGAACTTCTCGAGCTTTGTGAGATCTCGCAAGTCACAGCCAACCTGCAGATACTGTTCGCTTCGTAGTAGAATATCACCATCTTCAGGATATTCCACGTTCTTCAAGATACTATTCAGCTCGCTCGTTTGCTGTACCATATCTCTCTTCCTGAGAATCAAATCCCTATAGTCGATATCCACAAATGTCACATCTCGTGATGCTTCCGGATATCTCGCCCAGGATTGCCACGGAAGAGGGTCACTATTATTTATCAGTGCGTGGCCAGTGAAATACCCCTTAATTATAATTCCCACTTACTATCCACAGCCTAAATTGACGATAATCTTCTTCTTCCCCGTCGCCTCCTTTAAAAACTGGCTGGCCACGTGATCTATCGCTTTCATGCGCAACCAATAGCCTCTATTGATGAGGGGTGCTCGTCTTTGAGGCTTTTTGACGAAGTAGCGGAAGAAATGTGGCTCATTTGGGTAGTATAGACGCTCAACACTGCGCTTGGAGACGATACTGCTGTTGTTGGTCTGTGATATCTATCAGAGCTTTGTCCATAAAAAAATGTGGAGGAAGATATAATAAGAATTTTACCACTTACCCCCATAATCGAGTCATCCTGCTTCGATGCCTTGGGCCGAAGCCGTCCACCACCCTTCATCGGGTGAGACTTAATAGAGATAGACATCAAATGTTTTACGATTTATGCCCCTCGTTTGTACGTACGTGGGGTAATTTTTGTACTTTCTGAAGCGTTGATGGAGGGCCTGAATAAGGTGTGGACCGTGCGTTGCCAGTCAGCCTTCCGTGCACATGGAGTTTCCTCTGGACGACGATCAACTCTTGATTCACTACTTATTATGCCATTATATACAGATAATTTACATATTTTGTATAAAGAGGTTCTATATTTCCGTGATTCATCAAGAAAATCCCTACTAGTAGCGTTGTCCTGTTAGTCTGGTCCCTGAAATACCCTAGAAGACCTTCAACTGCTGCTGTAAGCAGTGACGATGTGAGTGACCTAGCTCAAGGTGGAGGGAGCAAAGGCGGGCCGTTGCACCACATCACCAACAAGGAAAGAGGCACCAGCCAGCTCTTTGACAGCCACAGGGCACCTCGACCTCGGATTCCACGGGCAACGACTCGGATCTCTAGGCGTCCAAGACATATTTATCTGCCCAATCCTCGAGCCACTTGTTCTCTCCAACTACAAGACTCGTCCTGGTCGCCGGCAACAAGAGCATTGTTCCGCGCAGGCACTTGCGCCGCTACCCACCTCACAGCTCAACCCTCGAGTAGTGGTGAGATAACCACAATAAGATGGCGATGAATTTCGTTACTTTCAACCAGGATTATAGTCGTCTTGCTATTGGTAGGGCAGGTCCGGCTCCCCGCAGGTGCAGGTGGCTGATGCTTTGTCGATAGGTACTTCGAAGGGATTCCGAATCTACCATAGCGACCCCGAGTTCCGACCTGCTTTTAAGAGCGATGAAGATAATGTCTCGATTATTGAGATGATGTTCTCGACTTCCCTTGTCGCCCTTGTTTTATCTCCGCGGCGCCTGGTGATACGGAATACAAAAGTCAGTGAGCGCAAATCTTCTTCAACTCCCCAGCGTGGAAGCTTGAGCTAACCAACCATAACCAGAGATCCTCGACTATCTGTGAACTCACGTTCCCCTCCGCCGTCCTCGCAGTACGACTAAATCGAAAGCGACTCGTCGTAGTACTCGAGGAAGAAATATACCTCTACGACATCCTCAACATGAACCTCCTCTACACCATCTCAACCTCCCCGAACCCCCACGCACTATGCGCCCTCTCCCCCTCCTCCGACAACTGCTTCCTCGCCTACCCCCTCCCCAAAGCGCGCGACGAGCCCGGAGAAAAGCGCCCCGCCCACGCCCCTCCAACCTCCAAATTCGTCCCCCCGATCTCAGGCGAAGTCCTCCTATTCGACACCCTCACCCTCAAAAACATCAACGTCGTCGAAGCCCACCGCGCGCCCCTCTCCTGCATCGCCCTCAACAACGACGGCACGCGCCTCGCCACCGCTTCCGAGACAGGTACGATCATCCGCGTCTTCTCCGTTCCGAGTGGGGACAAGCTGTACCAGTTCCGCCGGGGTTCCTACCCCTCCACGATTTACAGCATGTCGTTCAACACCTCCTCCACCCTCCTCTGCGTCTCCTCAACCACAGACACAGTCCACATCTTCCGCCTCACCTCCCCCTCCAGCCGCCCTACCTCCCCCGGCTCCCCAGGCGGCGAACGCATGTCCCGCGGCCGCAGCCACGACAGCGCCACATCCTCCGGCACATCCCCCGGCTCCGAAGTCCGCACCACGCTCCCAACCCGCAAATCCAGTGGAACTCTCGGCTCCATGTTCCGCCGCACGTCTCAGCTGATGGGGAAGAATGTCGTGGGCGCCATGGGCGGCTACCTGCCTAAGGGTGTGACGGAGATGTGGGAGCCGGCGCGGGATTTTGCGTTTATCAAGATCCCGAAGAGCTCGTTGGGGGAGAGTGGGAATGGGCAGATGAGGAGCGTGGTGGCGATGAGTAGTAATTTTCCGCAGGTTATGGTGGTGACGAGTGATGGGGGGTTTTATGTATTTAATATTGATATGGAGGAAGGGGGGGAGGGGGTGTTGGTGAAGCAGTATTCGTAAGTTATGCCTGGGTGGACACGCAGCGTTGGGGTTTTTGCTAACTTAATTCACAGAGTACTTCAGACGGAGGATAAGTTCGAGCAGGGTGTGCTTGATGGCTGAATTTATGGGAGGGAGTTTGGTGGGTTGGAGATATTGCTAGATCTGAGAATCCTGGAGGCTAATTCCAAGCGATGAGGGTATACAGCGCGTTTCTATTGCGCTGTTTGGTACTGGGTGGGTGGCTGGCTGGGAATTGCGATAGCTTATATACGTTGTTCAGTGTTAGGTAGGCTGATATGGTTGAGTTAATTATAATATCTCTGCCTGGCAGCTTTATCACATTCATGTCTTATTAGGCCACGGTTATGGTCGGTCACCGTACGCAAGGTAGATTACACGTAAACAGTTTTAAGTTAAAATTGCTCTATAAATTTAATGTTCATTATTTGCATGACCTAATGTCAATGATTTTCAACGTCGATCAACAACATGATCGTGACACACCAGCTAGCATAGCGCGTCAAACTCCCAAGCAGCAAAGATTAGATTACAGCCCCCTCCCACCAATGCCTCCCCTTGGCCCCCTTACATCTGCACCTCAACACGGCCCTCCGAGCCCGGCGCGCCCGACTGGAGCGTAGGGAGGAGGTAAGTGATATCATCCCAAGGATGTCTGTACAGGCCAGTACGCAGCCTCTTCTGATCGAGATAATGGGCGATGAGACCGATCGAGCGACCAAGGACGAAGAGTCCGTTCAGGACACCCATCTTGAGGTAATCCTCCGCCTCCTCGGCGCTGAAGGCACCGCAGTTGCGCATCAGGTCGACGAAGCAGACGGCCACGGCACCGTCGACGTTGAGGATCAGGTTGTCCTTCTTGGAGGTGGTGACGGACTCGACGGCGAGGGCGTAGTCGAGCATCTTGCAGCTGGGGAAGCGCTTCTTGACGAACTCCTTGACGAGCTCGACGCGGAGATCGGGGTTGTTGCGCGACTTCACCTTGTGCCCGATGCCGGGGATGAGCTTGTTCTGCTTGCGCATGCTGTCGACGAAGTCACGTGGGCTGAGACCCTTGTCGTAGGCGCGGGTGAACTCCTCGGCGGCGCCGTCGAGGGCACCTCCGAAGCGGGAGCCGATGGTGAGGAGACCGGAGACGAGGGCGGAGATGAGATCCTTGCCGGCACGGGTGGTGATGATGGTGTTCATGGCACCGGAGACGGCGGGGCCGTGATCGGCCGTAAGCATGAGAACCATCTCGAGGAACTTGCTGGCGTAGTCTGGGAGACGGCGACGGAACCAGAGGAGGGACATGACACCGCCGATTCCGATATCCTCTCTGAAGACATCCGAGATGGGCATTCCGGCGTACAGAAGCTCTTGGCCACGGTCATCGGAGATGGTGGAGATGAAGGCAGCGGGCTTTCTGATCAGGCCAAGCTCTTGCGCCCACGAGTAATCGAGAGGGATCTTGGGCACGATTGGCTCAGCCTTTGGCTTGATGCTGCCGGCCTTGACAAGGGTCTGGTAAACCTGGCTGAGGAGAGCGGGCATATCCTCGAAGGTCTCCGGGACGTGGAAGCCGGCCTCCTTCATGGCCTTGTTCTTGTTGGCAGCGGTCTCGAGCTGCGAGTTGGCGAACGATCCAGCGTGTCCGAACTGAACCTCGGTCTTGAACATGCTCGCGCAGGTTCCGATCGCCCAGGCAACAATTGGCTTGGTGATGGTTCCGTCCTGGACGGCCTCGATGACGCGGTACTCTTCGATTCCACCAACCTCACCCAGCAATAAGAGGATCTTGCAGTCTGGGTCGGCTTGGTATCTGAGGAGATGGTCGATAAATGTGGTACCGGGGTATCTGTCACCACCAATGGCAACACCCTCGTAGACACCATCGGTTGTGTTACAGATGATGTTGTTCAACTCGTTGGACATACCTCCGGACTTGGAGACGTATCCGACGGAGCCAGGGCGGTAGAGCTTGGATGCAACGATGTTGTCCATCATGCCACCAGTGTTACCGATCTTGAATGCTCCGGGCTTGATTCCACCAACAGTGGCCGGGCCAATGATGGTGATACCCTTCTTCTTCGCAACGTGTAGAATCTCGCGTGCGCGCTGTTACAATTAGCTCATGTCGTGTGATTGTCGATTTTTGGGACTCTGCTTACTCTCTCTGGGACACCCTCGGCGATAATGGCAATCGACCTAATTTGAGGGTACTCCATGAGCTCCATGGTGGACTGGTACACACTGCGCGACGAAGCAAAGTTGACAACGGTATCGACGTCAGAGTGCTTGGCCATGGCCTTGTCTACGCTCTGGTAAACTGGGAGGAGGGTCTCGCTGGTTCCCCAGTACATCTTGCTGACGAACTGCCCACCGAAAGTGTAGATGATACCCGCAACGGATGGTGTGGAACGCTTGCAGATGAAGTCGAAATCGAGCATGCCCTGGACGGCTCTTGGCTGGAGACCGTACACGAAGCATCGCGTCTTGTTGTGGAAGAGAGCGTGCTCAGCACGAGGGCTCAAAGGTCGGCTGGGAGCAGCAAAGCGGCGGATGTTGTCGTTGGCATTGCCAGCGCCCGGTCCGGTCGCGGGGGACGCAGAACCAGCACCGGTTGTGCCACTTGGGATAGCGGAAGGCATGGCGGGAGGTTCGGGGTTCTGGAGAGAATTGAGGGTTAGAAAGTGGACAATTGATTGTTGTGAGAGAAAGGTCGAGGGAGGGGGGTTTGTGGTGAGGATGAAGGGGTGGGTGTTCAAGTACTCACAAGAAATGGTTGGGGAAAGGAGCTTCAACAATGAGCTTCGTGAGCGATTGGTGTGCGACAGGAATTGAGGATTGTAATTATCGTGGATATGGGGAGGAGGAAGGTGATGATGGAAAAAGGAGGAGGATGAGGAATTGGGAAGGATTAGAAGGTGAGTAGCAAAAGGAGAGAGGAGGAGAGTTTGTGTGTTTGGATCGGGGGGTTGAGGAGGTGCCAGAACTTTTTCTTGGGCGAGAGCTTTTTGGAGATTGAGACGGGTTGGTGGTGGTGGTGGTGGTGGCAGCTTGTACTGTAGGTGTCTTGGCCCCCCCTGGTATTGTGGTGGGCTGTAGGCGGTGGGTAGGGCGGTGGGTAAGGCGGTGGAGGGATGGTTGTTGGGTTGACAATGTACTGTTTTTGTGAAGAATGTACAATGTTGTTGCTGTAGCGTACCGTAGAGTCGGTTGCGTAGTTGTAGATGTTGTAGATGTTGTAGATGCGATGTACTGTAATGTACGGTGGGGTGCTGAGGCGTACTGTGGGGTGGAGATGGTGGAGCTTGGTGTAGGATGGGTGTTTTGAGTGTTCGATGATGCGCTGTAGGTGTGCTGTAGGGTGTGCTGTAGGGTGTGCTGTAGGGTGTGCTGTAGGTTGTGCTGTAGGGTGTTGTCGAGTGCTGTCGAGTACCGTAGCTGCAGCGCAATAAGCGTCCGATAAGCACCGATAAGCAGCAATAAGCAGCTATAAGCAGCTATAAGCAGCTATAATCAGCTATAAGCACCCCGTAATCCCCATAAGCAACAGCAGTGATAGCACCAGTAATAGCACCATAATAGCAGTATATTGGCAGCAGTCATCCCCAATAAGCACCAGTAATCCCACGGCACAACCGTATAGAATGTACCGTACAGTACAGGACAATACACTCTATACGGGGGAATAACTACCCCGTGTTGAAGTTGTGCTGTGTGTACTTTTGGCGGGCCGTATGCACGGTGGGGTACATCCCCCCGAACCCCAAAGTAGTGCGTGGTAGCGTGGGCGGACAATAAGGTCGTCGGTGTCCGATGGGGTCGATTCCTCGATGGATGGGCGATGGTTGGGACGGACCTTGCATGGTGGGATGGGCGGTGGGATTGGCGGTGGGCGGGTGGAAGGCGGCGTTTGGCGGTGGATGAGGGCCCAGGTTGGTGTAGGTTGGGTTTTGGATGGGGTTCATTGGGAGACTATCCCTGTCCCGTTGAGTTCCGTTCATCGCTCTCTCAACTCCCTCTCACTCCTTTTCTTCTCCCGCCATTTTGTCACCGTCTCCCCATTCCGCCCCACCCCAACCCCCGGGCCATTCCTCATTGGTCGTTTTAGCTCCTCGCTTGGGCCTCTGTTGGCTCCGTGTTGAACCCCGATGTGCGCTAACTGGCCACCACGGCCACCACGGCCACTACGGCCACGCACAGCAACCTTTTTGTCCCCCCGAACAAGGTCCCCACCTTCCCCCACCATGCCACTCACCATTCGATAGCTGGAGAGACGGTGAGGAGTCGAAGAGGAGTCCAGAGACGAGTCTAGAGATAGGGACAGAGTGCCGTGATCCACCAAACTGGGCTGAGGGGACACGACAACACCTCCAAAGGAAGCAAAAAGAAATAAACTGAATAAATCGAACAAATTGGGTAATAGGAGTAAGAAAAATAGGAGTACCAGCGTGAAATAAGAGAAGATGGGATAAAAAGTGTACAACTCCAAATAGAGAGAGAGGGTGTGAGAGAACTTACCGCCTTGAGATGCACAAAATCCCCAATACCAAATACCTTGAACATGTACCCCCGATGTACTTCAACCACTGTGCTGTGCTGTACTGTACCCGTTGCTGTAGGCTTATACTGTAGCTTGATGTGTGTGAACCGCCAACCCGCCAAACCCACACCCATCAACAATTTATTTTGTTCCTCTTCGGTCACCACAACACAACCCACCAGCTTCCACACCCTCCCTCTCGTCTCCCACAATTCCACCACTGCTCCTCTTCCCTCTTCCCTTTCCATCTCTCAATCTCCTCACGCCCTCTCAATAAACCCATATCAACTGAATTGTTGTCTCTTCCGCTGCACAAGTACAATTCTTCGTAGCTGTCGCTTGATCGCAAGTTTCCAATTTTTGGTGAGTTTACCTCGAGAGCTTGCGAGCTCGTCCCCCCCGCTGCTGCTGTTGCCCTCAACGTCGAGGACTCGTGATTCCACCCAAACGTCGTGTGACCTATGTTTTCGGACTGTCGCTATGATTGGGGTACCACCGGGCGCAAAGCAAGCTCTTCTGCCCCGGTCGGCACTGTCGTTGTCGTCGTGCCTGTTGCCATAAGACCTTGGGGATCCAATCCACCGACGACTGTTGAAATGCTCGCGGATGTGCCAATTGTCAAGCCGTGACAGAGAGACTAACCAGCTGCACAGTCTCCGATTCCGACATAACCCACAATGTCTGCCAAAGCGATCCTCGAAGCTGATGGCAAGGCCATTCTCAACTACCACCTCACCCGCGCCGCCGTCATCAAGCCATCCCCTCTCCCAAAATCTACCACACACAACCCTCCCTCGAAACTTGCCTCGCTCTACTTCCCAGCAGACGCAGAGGTTGCGGCGATTCTCGACCAGGCCGAGGTTTCCTTCCCATGGCTGCTACAGCCAGGTGCCAAATTTGTCGCCAAGCCAGATCAGCTCATCAAGCGTCGCGGCAAGAGCGGTCTGCTCGCCCTGAACAAGACATGGCCTGAGGCGAAGGCATGGATCCAAGAGCGTGCCGGAAAGCCCCAAAAGGTCGAGTCCGTTGTCGGTGTCTTAAGGCAGTTCTTGGTTGAGCCATTCGTGCCTCACCCAGACGGAACCGAATATTATATCAACATCAACTCCGTTCGCGAGGTACGTTCAAAGATTTCCCATGGCGATCGATAGAAATTTGGAGTGCGGCTTTAACCGGCGAACTTTGTGATAAGTATCATGGAGTTCTGTGCCGAGTTGCAAGATCGATACTTGGCATGAAAATGTCCGAAAACGGCATAACAATTGCCAAAATGCAAATGTATGCGTCAAGCGACCATATATCAAGACAAGAGAGTTGAAAATGCACTGCACGAAGAAAAAGTTTGGGGAGGGCCTTTTTAATGAAGTTTGGATTGGCTATCGGCTCAGTCTTCGGACGAACGGCGGCTAGAGAAGGAGGTGCTCCGCACACCCACCAACCAACAAACACAGCACTCTGAGCCTGCATATTCTCGGCCGTCTTAGGCCATGCTTATCTCCCATGCATACTGGCAGTTGCTATTCACATGTTATCTTCATTTCGAATTTGTTTATTTTGTTCGATATCATTAAACTGTACTAACGTATTTAATTGCACAGGGCGACTGGATCCTTTTCACTCACGAGGGTGGTGTTGATGTCGGCGACGTTGATGAGAAGGCTGAGAAGCTTCTCATTCCCGTGGACCTGAAGGAATACCCATCGAACGAGGAGATTGCTGCCACTCTCTTGTCGAAGGTGCCAAAGGGAATCCACAACGTTCTCGTCGACTTCATCACCAGACTCTACGCCGTCTACGTTGACTGCCAATTCACATACCTCGAAATCAACCCATTGGTTGCCATCCCAAATGAGGATGCCACCTCCGCCGATGTGTTCTTCCTGGATCTGGCTGCCAAGCTCGATCAGACCGCTGAGTTCGAGTGCGGTGCCAAGTGGGCTGCTGCACGCTCGCCAGCTGCTCTCGGCATGACCGCCGTCAAGGCGGCTGATGGCCGCGTCAACATTGACGCTGGCCCACCAATGGAGTTCCCAGCGCCTTTCGGCCGTGAGCTGACCAAGGAGGAGGCATACATCGCTGAGCTCGACGCGAAAACTGGTGCTTCGCTCAAGCTGACCGTCCTTAACCCCACCGGCAGAGTCTGGACTCTTGTCGCTGGTGGTGGTGCGTCCGTCGTCTACGCTGACGCCATCGCCAGCGCGGGTTTCTCTGAGGAGCTCGCCAACTACGGTGAGTACTCTGGAGCGCCCACCGAGTCGCAGACTTACCACTACGCCCGCACTGTCCTGGACCTGATGCTCCGCGCCCCTCCCACCGACGAGGGCAAGGTCCTCTTCATTGGTGGTGGTATTGCCAACTTCACCAACGTCGCCTCCACATTCAAGGGTGTCATCAAGGCCATCCGCGAGTATGCACCAAGCATCATTGAGCACAAGGTCAAGATCTGGGTCAGACGTGCCGGACCCAACTACCAGGAGGGACTTAAGAACATCAAGGCTGTCGGCCAGGAGCTGAAGCTCGACATGCACGTCTATGGACCGGACATGCACGTCAGCGGTATCGTGCCTTTGGCGCTTGTGCCGGGCCGCTTCGAGGCCAGCGACGTGAAGGAGTTTGGCTCTGCCTAGAGCTCAGGTTTTGGGGATTAACAGTAATAAATGTACTTGAAAAAATTGTCCCATGTTGGACCATGGGTCTGCATGTGGCGGATATTTGCTCTGATGGGGCGCCTGCAATAGATACTTCCTAATGATAAAGACGATGTGAGATCTGTACTGTTACGAGTACTTTCTGCCACAGGAGCAGTTGGGGCCTTTTTTTTGATGAGATATATATATATCACGTGCTGTGAGGAATGTGCGGCAATTCTGGGATCTGTTTAAGTGACGGTGAGCCACTTGTCGATCGATGAAGATCGGAGCCACACCACCACCACTCACGTGCATTAGAGCAATTTCCCGCGAGCCTGGCGTGAGAGTGAGACGCTCTAGTATGGTTTAGTCGGGGAGATCCTTGCTGTCATGCCGCTCATTTTGTTCTTCGGCGCCGTTTGTTCTTTTCTTCTGTGATACGGTACAGAGATGATGCATGACGTGCCCGAGTACAAGACTCCAAGATGAGGTAGATGCTGCTGGAGTACTCATTCTGCTGGTTGATATCATGATACACCTCATATATCTAGCTACTCGTATTCAGCCATGTAGCCGTCCGTACAGCCAGCCAGCCAGCCAGTCAGCTACATTATAGCTTCAATAGTCAGATATGACAACAGCCAACACCAAGACAACGTTACGAGCCTCGTGCATCGTGAGATTACAGTGCTACACCCATATTACTACATCGATCCCCTCGGTTAAAGATGCTGCCGCCGGAGTAGGGGCGCAGCTCTCGTATTCAGACCGCCGCCGTTACGGTTTGAGCTTGGCGTTCGATGGCGCTTGACGCCGGTTGGCCCGTTCAAGTTAAGTTAACCTCGTAAAATGGGGAAAGGGCGGAAAGGACCCTGAGATTGTCAAAACTGTCAGGTACGAGGTACAGGGGCCACGGGCGCCCGCGGGCAGAAACAGACAGCGGCACCGCGCAAGGGTCCTAGTCCTGGTATTTACTGCGTATCTCACCCATATCCCCCCGCGAAATATCGACTTCGTCGCACCCTTTGTCCGTTCAAGAACTGAAACAACCACGCTCATTTTTATCTATCCAGAAGGCTCACTCTTTTTGCCTCTTTATCTTGTGATCGCGGGGTCTATTGTTCTTTTTGTTGCAGCTTCGGCGATTATTTCATACCTAACTTTTGGAATTAATACACGGAATAGAAAGCGGGACTTTGATTACAACAGATAACAGCCATGAAACGCGCCGTAAGTGAACCCTCCGAACCACCCGCGACAACAGTCAACCCATGCGAATTGTGTGCGACAGGTCTGCCTCGACTCAGGCTGGAGTTCGGGTGAAGACATGATGAGTACGTGCAGCTGACATTGAATCACCAGTCCCAAGTTGCGCTTCTGGCGCTTTGCGCCCAGGTCGCGACCGCTGTCACCCCGCTCATCGTCAAGGGGACCGATTTCGTCAACTCTGTTTCGGGCCAGCGATTCCAGGTCATTGGTGCTGCATATCAGCCTGGCGGAGAGGCGGGTTACAAGCCTGAGTCAGGACAGGACCCTCTCAGCAATGCGGAAACGTGCTTGAGGGATGCTGCTCTGTTGCAGAGAATTGGCGTTAACACTATTCGTGTTTACAACTTGTCGCCGGATATCAACCACGATGAGTGCGCGTCGATCTTCAACATTGCTGGCATCTATATGATGATTGATGTCAACTCTCCTAAGCCGAATGAGGCTCTGAGCAGAGAGGCACCGTGGGAAAGCTACAACCATGATTACCTGGAGAGGACTTTCAAGGTTGTGGAGGGCTTCAAGAACTACCCCAACACTCTGCTGTTCTTCTCGGCAAACGAAGTCATCAACGATGTGCCAACAGCCATTACCGTGCCATACATCAGAGTGAGTAGCCCCTCCCCCAGATTCTACTAGTCCGACACTGACATCAAGTTAAGGCTGTCACCCGTGATCTCAAGCAATACATCAAGCTCCACTCGGACCGCCCCATCCCAGTCGGCTACTCCGCCGCTGATGTCCGTGAGGTCCTCATTGACACCTTCAACTACCTGCAGTGCAGCTTGACCGGAGACGCCACAGACGAATCCATCACCGATGTCTTCGCTCTTAACAGTTACTCCTGGTGCGGCCCAGCTACGTTCAACGAGGCCGGCTACAACACCCTCGTGGACATGTTCAAGAAGAGCAGCGTCCCAGTATTCATGTCCGAGTACGGATGCCGCGAGATCCGTCCCCGCATCTTCGACGAGACCGCCGCGCTCTACAGCTCCAAGATGAACCCTTACTTCAGCGGCGGCGTCGTCTACGAGTACACCCAGGAGAAGAACGACTTCGGCCTCGTTGTCCTGAACTCGGACGGCTCTGCAAAGCTCAAGGTCGACTACGACAACTTCCAAGGCCAGCTCGCCAAGCTCAACATCACCGAGCTCCAGAGCACCTCCTCCTCGGCCGCCGCAACCCCCTTCCCCAAGTGCGTGTCCTCCCTCATCAAGGACAAGGGCTACCCCAACGACTTCACCAAGATCCCCAACCCACCCAACGACGGCCTCGCCGCGCTCATCAAGGCCGGTGTCAAGTCTCCCAAGAACGGAAAGCTCGTCACCATCGACAACTTGAAGGTTAAGCAGGTCGTTAAGAACAGCGATGATACCGTCATCACTGGACTCGAGGTCAGGCGCCTCACGGACGGAAATGTGCCTACTCCTATCGCGACCACTGGATCCCCTGCCGCTACTGGGACTACTGCGTCGCCACAGGAGACTAGCTCCAGCGCGGCGGTTGGGACGACGCAGCTTGGCGGGTTTGGATTCGTGATGAGCTCGGTGTTAGCTGCGCTGTATCTTATCTGAGTTTGAAGCGGGGTTGAGACGTAGATAGGGGTTCTTTTTGTGTATAGTTTTTCTCGTTACTTCTTTGGCAGCACGTTTTGGCTCGTCTGATACCTTCATAGCTGGCTATTGGACGTTCAATTGTAATTCTGTTTTATGATCACGTTTATACGTTTCTTTAGCGATTGAAGGTCTATTTAGATAGTGCATATATGTCATGTCCTTGTTACGGTACTTGCTTTCACTTGATATGGCAGCAGGCCAACTGGTGTCGTCCTCTATAATCTTTACATTTATGATGACACTGTCTACCGCCCCTGGAGTTTGAGGCGCTTACATACGAAGAAGCTTAAAATAAACCAGCTTCGTAATAATGATGACGCGGAGGTTACTATCCAACACATATCCCAGCCCCCTCGCCACCTCGTGTCCAGCACGGCTGACTACCTGGAGACTCGTATCAAAACACCGTATCCCAGCCTCTCTACCTCTGCCTTCCCGCATCGTATACCTATTCATAGATCGCCTCACCATCTGGGCCCCCCATCATCCCCCTAACACTCGCGCCCCCTACTCACCCCCCCACCCCCCCCCAATCACACCCCTTCCCCACACTCCCCCCGCATCCCCACCCCCACCAAACCGACCAGCAGCCAAAAACCTCCTCACCTCCCTATCCAGCAACTCCTCTTTCCGCTCGCACGCAGGACATATACTCGAGTGCGGCTTGAGGGCGTTGCGGCGCTGGCAGGGGAGGGTGGGGGCGCTGCAGGGGGCGAAGGGGGCGGTGATGTGCGTGCAGTGGAGGTGGAGGGTGTGTGTTGTTTTGCACATTGTGGTGGTGTGTGGTGGTTGTTTGGTAGTGTGGGAGGTCGTTGTGCTGGTGCCTCGGGGTGTGTGTGGTGGTTGTCGGTGTGGGAGGTTGTTGTTGTGCTGGTGCCTCGAGATGTGTGACGATGATTGTGTGGTTGCTGATGCCTTGGGTTTTGGATGTTTGTTTGGTGAGGGACTCGGTGGTTTGGTGGGAGGGTGGAAGTGAATGCGGACTTTTATATAGGGGTGTGATGAGGGGGATAAAGGCATTGTTTGGTGGTCGAAGGCGAGTTCTGTGGTATGGAAGGCAGTGGGTAGATAGTTCTGGAAGTTGGTGAGTTTGGGGGGTTTCTTTGTTCGTGAGACTTGGTTTGAGGCCAGCATCTACTGTCGAAGTCACAGGTGCTATCCCTGGGGGTGTTCACATGAGTCACTTTCAGAGCCTCGAAAGAGGGTGGACTTTGAAGCGGTATAAGCTCCTTTCCATCTTCCCTCGAGGACCGCCATCGAGGATAGTTCTATAACTTTGCACATAGAAAACATTAATCACATCACATGCTCACTCCTCAGACAAAGGTTCTAATAGAAAAACTCGTTGCTATCTCATTTAGTACAAATCAAATCCGCTGTAGTATCCAATCTACCACTATTGATATACGCATCTCATATAAAACCGCTGAAACAGGTAGCCGCGGCTACCCTCTTCTAAATAGCACTCATGATAGTTAAGGCCGTAAAATCCGCTAGAAGTACATCACGCTAAAGCAAAGGAATGTCGTCCGTCTCTTTGTCCCCGCGTCGCTTAAATCTGCCCTGCGGCAAGTATGGGTTATGATCTTCAAACTGATAAGTTAAATTGCTTGGAACATCCGTCATCTTTGTGCCTATATCATTCATATGTCAGCTAGTTCCATAAACATAGATTGGGGTTTATTACCTCCCAAGAGTATCCTTCCTCGAGAAAAACCTGCCACAGTATTCGCACTGGTGGCTCTTCTCCTTTATATGCACCGATTGATGGTGCCGCTGCAAATCCGTCTTCCGCCGAAACCTCTTCATGCAATCAGGCAAAGCGCAAACAAACGGATGGACTCGGTCCGCGTCATGTGTTTCCATGTGTGCTCGATAGTTATAGCTGCGGTTGAACAGCTTGCCACAGCCGTCCACTGTGCACTCATAGTTGCCATCCTCGCGCGTCGTCACTATCCGGGGACGCTTTTCCTGGCTCGGGGTTGTGCGAGAGCTCCCAGCATTTGTGCTGCTAGATCCCAGCACTACGCCCTCTGCCCCGGAGTCATAGCTTAGACCAGAATCTGCACCAGTAAAGCTTGACCCCGTGGGTGGCACGGGGGACAACCAGTCCTCTGTATCCAATACATTATCCAAGCCATATGTGTTAGATGGTTGGCCCGAAGATAGGTCGACTAGCCCGGGATGCCAATGGACAGAGTTATCCACCATTTGACTACTGCCAGGCTCATTGTAGGTACCGTTAGGTGGGTAATATTGTGGACCTGACAATGGAAATGGAATCTGTCCTGAGGCTGTAGCTAAGTTTGACGGGATAACATCCATTGAATAAGGGTTATAGTTCTGTGGTAGTGCATAATCGGCGACCTGCTGGGCTGAATTCAAATTGGTGAATGCAGACGCAGCTGATTGCTGAGGATAAGGAGACGTGAACGGCGAGCCCGCAAATGCATAGTCGCCAGTCGGGCTTCCGAAAGGTTCATGATCCGATATGGTCATTGATTGCATACTTGCATTTGCATCATTGTATGACTGTTGGCTAGAAGGCAAATATCCCCGCTCAAAATCATGGTATGACGGACTCGGAGACCGTGTATGTGAAGGTCTACTCATGTTGACGGTAGCACTGCTGGTGTTCTGATAGAGAGCCGGTGACTCAACCGGCCCAGGCAGAAGTTGATATCTTTGAGAAAAGCCGCGGAGATGTGACGACTTAAAGATAAAAATGAAAATATATGAAAGTATTTTGCATCTGGATAGAGTTGATTGTACCAAGAAGTGTCAATCCGAGAAACGAAATGGGAATACTTACACTTATATAACATCTAGCCAAAGGCAGGTGGATGTCGGAAAAGCAATAGGAACAACATTAGCCTCTTAATAATAACATCGTCGGCGGTTGTTGGATACTGAATAGGCATGGTGGAAGAGCAGTTCGGGGCCCAACGTGGCTGTCTGCCTAACTCTGCCTTGGCCGGCCCCAGTGAATCTCGATCTTTTCCACGGCGACAAGCGCTTCTTTTCACGAGAATTATCCAGGTCAAGTCTATGAAAAGACATTGCCAAGGCAGTGGACAAGGATGGCACCTCCTGTAGTTTTGGCGCAGGCATCAGTGAGGTAATTGCACATGTCCATCAGGCGTACCTAGAAAGAACTATTGACACGTCTCGAGATGCGGCAATTGCGACGGCGGAATTCACGCTCAGTTAGGCATGACTCGTCTTTTGGATCCTTTTGGATTCATAACTGTACATATTCCAGCACAATTGTCGTTTTCTTCCTGCATTGAGCAATACCGTCACGGGATATCACCCAAAGCATCTTAGAGAGTCACACCGGGGGCACAGTAGTTCAATATTAATCCGACATCCCTGCTCCCCCAGGCCGAAGCTCCGTTTTGCCGACGTTGCGCGGTTCTTTTCGCGCTGCGCGCTATCGCATCAGCCACAATCGCCCTAATCGCCCCCAACCTCTATCGTGTCTGCCTGATAAACAAAATAGGTGCGGCGTCGATATATCGTATAGCTATAGAGAGCACAGTATGTATTTGAGACACTGAAGATACAATACTTATATTTGCGGTGTTTGTTGGTGGAGTCACAATTATTAAAGGAGTAGAATTAAGGTGGATAAGGCAAGTGGGCACATGCTGCAAAGTGCTCAGGCACCACACCTCGTGCTCTAGGCGCCTCTGGAGCATATCAGCCAAACTTCTTGACCAAAAAACGTGACCTCGTTCACGTTCCATGCACTTCAACCTAACAAAATATCAACACTTCCATTTGTCTCCAAAAATGAAGTTCAACATAGAGTAGCTCCCTCCCTCAGTCTTCTGGGTTTTCTTTGGCTAATTATAGCTAGTGACCTTCCAGTTCTCTTCCCATATCCAAGAATCTACCCAGGTAAGCATCCCTCCTCAACCCTCCCTGATATCCGGCTGTGTTTGTATTGAGCGAACTTGGCTAACTTTGACTCAGAGCAATATGCGTATGCCATTATGCCTCCCTCTTATTGACACTCCGCTGACTCTTTCGTTTGCAGATACATGTGCGATCTCAAGAGTCCGTTACCTGCTCTACTCTCATAGGTGCAACTTGACTAACGGTCTACACAACAGGGACCCTCGATGCGGGGGGTCATTGTGTCTTGGAGATGCCCTCGGGGACCGGGAAAACCGTCTCTCTCCTTTCGTTGATCGTGGCATACCAGCAGTACTATCCCGAGCACCGCAAGCTGATATACTGTTCACGTGAGTGGAGCATAGTGGATTGAGATATAAGCTAATGGCCATAGGTACAATGTCCGAGATCGAGAAGGCTCTTGCTGAGTTGAAAGCCCTCATGAACTATAGGACTGAACAGCTTGGTCGCGTGGAGGAGTTTAGAGGACTTGGTCTGACAAGTAGGAAGAACCTCTGTTTGCATCCCTCCGTGAAGCGGGAGAAGAGCGGAGCAATTGTCGATGCTCGCTGCCGGAGCCTTACAGCTGGGTTCGTAAAAGACAAGAAGGAAAAGGGCGAGGACGTCGAACTTTGCACATACCACGAGGTACTATAATCAACACGCACGGTATCTATTGAAGCACTGCTAACAGACTAGAACCTGGACCTGCTTGAACCGCATGATCTGATACCAAATGGCGTCTGGACGTTAGATGGCATTATGCGGTACGGCGAGGAACACAAGCAATGCCCATATTTCACATCACGGCGAATGGTATGTTGCTGGCACTCGAAGTCCACCTCATGGTCCTAATTTCTGTAGATGCCATTTTGCAACGTCATTATCTACTCATACCATTACCTTCTCGACCCAAAGATCGCTGAGCGTGTGTCGAAAGAGCTTTCGAAGGACTGCATAGTAGTCTTTGACGAAGCTCACAACATCGACAATGTCTGTATTGAGTCTTTGAGTACAGATATTACTGAGGACTCATTACGAAAGGCTACAAGGGGGGCACAAAATCTGGAAACCAAGATTTCCGAAATGAAGGATACTGATGCGGAGAAACTTCAGAATGAATATGCCAAACTGGTCGAGGGGCTTCGTGAAGCAGATGAAGCTCGAGAAGAGGATACGTTCATGTCAAATCCAGGTGAGTATTCCAACCAGCATACATATCGAAATTGTTGTGCTTACTTCAACCGACAGCCTTGCCAGATGACCTGCTCAAAGAAGCGGTCCCGGGAAATATTCGCCGAGCCGAACATTTTGTTGCATTTTTGAAGCGTTTTGTGGAATACTTGAAGGTAGTCATGCGCCAATACGGGGTCTGTTGCCTGGACGCTAATTTTGGTGCAACTGCAGACACGGATGAGAGTTCGACAAGTAATTTCAGAAACACCCTTGTCCTTTTTAGCACATCTCAAGGAGACGACATTCATCGAAAGAAAGCCCCTTCGGTTCTGCGCGGAGAGACTGACCTCGCTCGTTCGGACATTGGAATTGACAAACATTGAAGATTACCAACCTCTGCAACAAGTCGCTACGTTCGCTACGCTGGTTGCAACATATGAGAAAGGATTTCTTCTCATACTTGAGCCATATGAGTCAGATACAGCGGAGGTTCCAAATCCTGTTCTGCATTTTACATGTCTCGATGCTGCAATCGCGATCAAACCGGTCTTTGACAGGTTCAGCTCAGTTATTATTACATCAGGGACATTATCTCCATTGGAGATGTATCCCAAAATGCTAAACTTCACAACAGTTGTACAGGAAACATATCAGATGACACTCGCACGGCGATCATTCTTACCAATGATTGTGACCCGCGGCAGTGATCAAGTGGCTATATCTTCTGGTTTCCAAGTTCGCAACGAGCCCAGCGTGGTAAGGAACTACGGGAACTTACTTACCGAATTCTCCAAAATCACGCCTGATGGTATGGTGGTCTTCTTTCCATCATACCTCTACATGGAGTCGATCATCAGCATGTGGCAGGGGATGGGAATTTTGGACGAGGTTTGGAAATACAAGCTTATCCTTGTCGAGACGCCCGATGCTCAGGAGACTTCTTTGGCGCTTGAGACTTACCGGACGGCTTGCTGTAATGGCCGTGGAGCCATCCTTCTATGTGTAGCTCGCGGTAAGGTTTCCGAAGGTATCGATTTTGACCATCAATACGGCAGAACGGTGTTGTGTATTGGCGTTCCTTTCCAATATACAGAGTCTCGAATTCTCAAGGCTAGACTCGAATTTTTGCGAGAGACATACCGCATCCGTGAGAACGATTTCCTGTCTTTCGATGCAATGCGTCATGCTTCTCAGTGCCTGGGTCGTGTACTGAGAGGTAAAGACGATTACGGAATAATGGTTCTCGCTGATCGTCGATTTATGAAAAAGAGGGCGCAACTTCCAAGTTGGATCAACAACGCCGTGATGGATTCGGACACGAATCTCAGTATCGACATGGCCGTCAGCAGTGCCAAGAAGTTTTTGAAGAATATTGCTCAGCCGTTCAAGCAGGAGGACCACGAAGGCATCAGTACATGGAGTGTAACCGATCTACAGAAACACCAAGAGAAAGAGGACGAAGAGAAGATCCGAGAGTTGCAGGATGGTGCAGCATTGGAAGACTTACGACACGGCAATGAACAAGACGTGATCATGGGCGATGAGTATGGTATGGATGATGAGGAGTTTGAGGCCGGCATGATGGAATTAGATGGATAATAAAAGGAGCGATTTCAATTCCGGTGTTTGGCGAAGCATACGCGAATAGGGTGGATGGGTTCCCACAACAGCAACTTGGCAAAAGGTATAACTAGAATGGTTCATAAAGCACGGCGTATTAATTCTTTAGTTACTCTCGGAGTACAACCCGAATACTAATTTCTGGGGTATAAATTGTTACAATATCTACATCTCAAGGCATTGTCTTCGCTTGAGTCCACATGTTTTCCATCTTCGACCTAGTCAATGCCTCCCGTGCTGTTGCATCTGTTTCGCAAACTTTACTTCCCCATTTGCGAAATGCTCTTGCTTTTTCTTCGCCCTCGAATACCAGTGTGCAGCTGTTCAGACTCATGTCTTTTAAGGCTCCTTTCTCATCTTCTCCCTTCAGCCAGTCCACCAATTCTTCTTGGTGCGTTTCCTTCGCTCTTGTTGGAGAGCTTTCGGTCCAATCAATTCGAGACAGCATCAGTTTCTTATATTGCCTGATGCTGTGTTCTCCACCTTCCACAATGACCAGGTTGAATCTTGGGTTCATGATGCATATTCCTGTAAGAGCGTATTGCTCCGCGTTTTTGGCAATCTTAAATCGATGGCTACCATTTGCCAAACTGTTGATCTTGAAAACCATGATGTGAATACCTTTGGCGGCATCCTTCTCCTGATTCAACGCCAATTTTTCGAGCTTTTGCTCTTTGGTGAGTTTTCGGTCTTCGTTCGTATCCAAATGCTTCGTGTGCCGCTCCGCAATTTCTCTGTTGACCCGTGCCTCGACTGCAGTTGGATCTTTGACAGCCTCTTCACCAAGAACACGCATGAGATTCCCCTTCTTAACTTTTGGAGGAGGTGCAGGTTCAAGACCCAGTCTAATCTTTGCTTGTTGCTCCTTAAGATCAACCATGCGACGTTGCCGCCGTAATTTGGCCTGCTCCTTCGCTGTTAAGAACATAGGCTTTGGTGCCGGCACATTTTTCTCCTGCGGGGGTTCAAGGAGAACCGGGTGTTGTATGTAGTGTGTTATAATGGAATCGGACGTGTCTAGCTTGAGTCTCTTCGGGTAGTCAATGTGCGTATAGTCTTTGCCATCCACCAAGCCTTCATCCCACCACTCGATATCAGGAGGTGCCTCAACGAGATAGTTCTTTTCTGTGTCTAAATCTTCATCGATGCCAATCTTTCGTGACGATTCTGCGATCCGCTTTTTCATCGCCTCCAAGGCGGCCTGTCGTCGGAGTGCATTTGCCTGCTGGATATACTTCCCTTTCTGGTTGAAGACAAGCTGTCGTGAATTCCTGTTCTTGAGTGTCGCTGTCTGTCCGCCCAAGCTATTATCGAAGTATGGATTGTTGCGGATATCTTCTGGTGACGGGCCTGACAAATCGAGTTGTTTTTTGCCTTTCGCAGACTGTTTCTCAAGAGGTCGTGCGTTGCCTATGCTCGTTGCAAATTTTGGCGCGACACTCTTCGAGGGCTTCCACTGACCATGATCTTCCAGTGCAGGATGTAAACCAACATTTAGACCTCCTTTCGCTTTGCTATTCCCAACTGCTGCGGCGACTCTAGCCTTCAACGAGGCAAGCTTGTCTGATGCTGATTCTGGCTTCTGGACTCGGCTCCCAGAGTCATGTCGAGGGCCCAGTACTGGAGAACCCTTTCCATGGTCCATGATAAGATCACCTTCCTCTGAAGATGTGAACGGCCTTATTTTATAAATATTGATGTGGGTGAGTTAGAGTTGTGGCCAAGAAGTTGCGATTGTGACGCGTTGTGGCAGATCTTGGGGTCGTAAGTTGGGGTCAACTGGTCACGTGGGTAGATTTTCTGCCAGCACTATTTGCTCACCGCCTGATGACCGCGGACTTTTCTGGACATTTCAAGTACTTGTGCCATTAATTTTTTTGATCTCAATGCACGTACCGCCCCAGATGTTCTGTGTCAATTCTATAGCAGAGTGATAATGAATATCTCGCAACCGGTCTCATCTGCCATTGGCAGTGTTGACTTTGCGTTTCTTTCTCAAGATGAGATTAAACGTCTGTCAGTAAAGGCCATTCAAAACCCGACAACCTTCGACACTCTTTTGAATCCAGTTCCAGGTGGATTATACGACCCTGCTCTTGGAGCTTGGGGTGATATACAGTAAGATATGCTACTCTATAATACTTCTTGCTTTTATCTAATTTTCAAATAGATGTACAACATGTCACCTCGGTGCCCTGTCCTGTCCTGGCCATGTCGGCCATATCACTCTCCCAGTTCCCGTTTACCATCCAACTTTTATGGATCAACTCCTACGGCTACTACGCGCCAAATGCGCATATTGCCACCATTTTAAAATGTCCCGAAAGGATGTGAACCTATACCATTGCAAGCTCCGTCTGATCCAGGCCGGCCAACTTAGTGCCGCTGAAGAATTAGACAACATAGACTTTGTCGCAAAGAAAGCGGCAGCTGTGGAGCAAGAAGACGAAAGCAGCGACTCTGCCGACGATAATGGGGTGGAGACCACCATAAAGCAACGACTCACGTTTGTGAAAAAGGCAATCCGGGACGCAAAAGCAACACCCTGGGATTGGAAGCTCGAGAAGAATGAAAGTGTTGCGGAAGCTCGGCGAGAGGTTATTAAAAGTTTCCTCAAGTCCATCACAGTCTCCAAAACATGCGCAAACTGCAGGGCCATTTCCAATGGATTTCGCAAAGATCGATTTGTCAAGATATTTGAGAAGCCCATGTCAGCGAAAGATGAGGCTAAGAACGCCCAACAAAATCTTAAGGCGGTCAATGCTATGCGCATTGTGTCCAAAGATGCAAAGAAGTCCAACGGATATGCGTCGGATGAAGGCATCGCCGATATAGATCTTTCGTCAAACGAAGAGGACGAAGGCGAGGGGCATACTCTCGATGTCGCTGGGGGCCTTGTCTCGAAAGAGCGTTCATCATCAGAAACCACTGCGATCTCCAAACAGAAGTCATCCACCACAGCAGCTGAGCGATATGTCAATCCTATGGAAGTAAGGGCGAGCTTGACACTGCTCTTCGAGAAGGAACAAGAAATATTGTCATTGGTCTATGCTTCTAGATCGTCGACAAAGAAACCAGCCGTTATCACTTCCGAATTCTTTTTCTTGCAAACTCTTCTTGTTCCGCCAAACAAGTATCGACCAGAAGCGCGAACCGGAGCTGGGGAGATTGCTGAGGCTCAACAGAATGCTTTATATAAGCAAATCCTGACCGCAGGTCATATGACAGCTCAAATATCGAAAGAATTGGACAACCCTGATTTAGCCGACACCAAATACCGGAGGAGAGACTTCTCGGATCTTCAAGAATCGTGGGTGAAGCTTCAGGATAGCGTCAATTCCTTGATAGACCGAGATAGGAACCCGATCCAGGGCGCTGCCGGTAAGAAAAATGAAGACGGTATCAAGCAAAAGCTTGAAAAGAAGGAAGGATTGTTCCGCAAGAACATGATGGGAAAACGTGTCAACTTCGCTGCAAGAAGTGTCATTTCTCCCGACCCCAACATCGAGACCAATGAAATCGGTGTTCCACCTGTTTTCGCAAGAAAGCTTACATATCCCGAACCTGTCACGAGCCACAATTTCAAGGAGCTACAGCAAGCCGTAATTAATGGAGCAGACAAGTGGCCCGGTGCAGCTGCTATTGAGAATGAGAATGGACAAGTAATCAACCTACGAACGAAGACTCCAGATGAACGGCAAAGTTTAGCAAACCAGCTTCTGGCTTCATCTGGTGTTGGCGCCAATGGGGCACGGAACAAAAAAGTTCATCGTCATCTCACCAACGGAGATGTCGTTCTCATGAACCGTCAGCCCACCCTCCATAAGCCGTCTATCATGGGACATCGCGCGAGAGTTCTCCCTGGCGAAAAGACGATTCGTATGCACTACGCCAATTGCAATACCTACAACGCCGATTTTGACGGTGATGAGATGAACATGCATTTCCCCCAAAATGAGGTTGCGCGAGCTGAAGCTCTCCAAATCGCCGACACTGACCACCAGTATCTTGCCGCAACGGCCGGAAAACCGCTACGTGGTCTTATTCAGGACCATATTTCAGTGTCGGTCTGGATGACGAACCGTGATACTTTCTTCGATCGGGCGACCTATCAGCAACTGGTTTACAATTGCCTTCGTCCCGAGAGCGGCCACATTATTGGCGAACGTATCGAGACTGTTCCTCCAGCCATAATCAAGCCATTCCCACAGTGGACTGGAAAACAAATCATCACCACAATTCTGAAGAATATTACGCCACTAGGATACACTTCCCTCAACCTTATTAGCAAATCCCAAGTTCCTGCTGATCGTTGGGGACCAAAGTCTGAGGAAGGCCAGGTTTTATTTCAGGATGGAGAATTGATAACCGGAATTCTCGACAAGTCGCAACTAGGACCTAGTGGCGGTGGCTTGATTCATTCGTTGCATGAAGCACATGGACCGACAGTTGCCGGGAAAATGCTCAGCATACTAGGGCGACTTCTCACCAAGTTTCTTCACATTCGAGCATTTTCTTGTGGTATGGAAGATCTTCTTTTGACCTCCGAGGGTGAAAAAACTAGGAAGGAAAAGCTCAAGGATGTCCACTTAATCGGATTAGAAGTGGCCGCCAAGTATGTAACATTGGAGGACCGGAAACCAACAGCCAATGACCCTGAACTACGAAACCGACTCGAAGATGTGTTGAGAGATGACACTAAACAGGAAGGCCTTGATGTGATGATGAACGGCAGTTCCAACAAACTATCGTCAGAAATTACCAAAGCATGTTTGCCACATGGGTTGGTGAAACAGTTTCCGAAGAACCAAATGCAGAATATGACCGTGTCCGGTGCAAAGGGCAGCGCTGTCAATGCCAACCTTATTTCATGCAATCTGGGGCAACAAGTTTTGGAAGGTCGCAGGGTTCCAGTTATGGTCTCCGGGAAGTCATTGCCTTGCTTCAAGCCATTCGAAACTAACGTGCGAGCTGGCGGGTATATTGCAAATCGATTCTTGACAGGTATAAGGCCTCAGGAATACTACTTTCACGCCATGGCTGGAAGAGAAGGACTTATTGATACAGCAGTCAAAACCTCCAGATCTGGATATCTTCAGCGCTGTCTCATCAAGGGTATGGAGGGACTGAAAGTCGAATACGATACATCCGTTCGCGACTCCGACGGTTCTATGGTTCAGTTTTTGTACGGCGAGGATGGACTCGACGTTACCAAAACGAAGCATCTAACGGACTTCAAGTTCTTATTGCAAAACATAGAATCTGTCGTGGCCCAAATGAAACTCGGAGACGACCTTGAAGTTATTGGAGAGCACCAAGAGAAAATCCAGAAGATGATGAAACGCGGCATAAAGACAGCAAAGGCAAATACCGCCGATGTGTCCGATCCCGTCTTGGCCCATTATCACCCAGGCAGGCACTTGTACTCGACCTCGGAGAGTTTCAACCGTTCATTGAGTAGCTATATCAAGGAGAACCCAGATGGCCTCATCAAGTCAAAGAGCAACCCAAATGCGTACAGTAAAAAGGAACTAGGACCTATTCTGAACGTAAAGTATCTGAAATCGGTTGTTGAGCCCGGAGAGGCCGTTGGAATTGTCGCTGGCCAATCTATTGGCGAACCTTCTACGCAGATGACACTTAACACCTTCCATTTGGCTGGTCATTCGGCAAAGAATGTCACTCTCGGTATCCCACGTCTTCGAGAAATCGTCATGACCGCAAGTAACAATATCTCTACTCCATCTATGACTCTTCAAGTCAACGAGGAGATGACGGAAGAGGCTGGCCAAAAGTTTGCTAAGGGCATAAGCAAACTCTCATTGGCGGAGGTGCTGGATGAGGCTTCAGTTAGTGAGCGAATCGGCAGAGGAACTTCACAGTCTCGGGCAAAAATCTACGACATCAACTTGAAGTTTTTCCCCCCACAGGAATACAAAGACACGTATGCCATAGATGTCGCCGACGTCATTTCTACATTGGAGAAGAAATTTGTTCCAAAGCTACAGTCTCTTGCGAGAAAAGCTCTTGGGAAGAAGAAGGGCGAAAAGAAGTTGAAGTCTGCTGCTAATACGGCTGCCGTCCCGGAAATTGGCAAGTCTGTGGGTATCATTGAAGAGGCTAGGCCTGAGGGGGAAAAGGAACCTCGCGATGAGGACGATGAGGATGAGGATGATGACGGTGATGCTACGAATGCCAAGCAAAAGGCCAACCGCGGACAGGCGGTCTCTTATGGTGCCAACGACGAAGAGGACGATGCCGTTCAAACCCAGATGGAAAGGGAGGCATCACCCGAAGACGAGGATGACAGAGATGACGAAGGGTTCCAGGGCGGGTCGCGCGGTTCAAGATTGGGCAACGACGAGGACTACGAGAACGACGAAGAAGAAACAGGCGCCGCCGACCAGGCCCTTTCTGATGACCGCCAGTCAAGGGTCATGTCCAAAAACGCGGATGTATCTCGGTTCCGATGTGATGAGGGTGGCTCGTGGTGTAAGGTCACGCTCGAGTATGATGCCAGTTCGCCAAAGGTCCTCATGCTGAATATTCTTGAGAGCGCTCTCCACGCCTCGTTAATTCAGCAAATTTCCGGGCTTGATACGTGTACATATGTAGCTGGGAAGGGTTCCGATGCTGCTGTTGTCTATGCCTCCGGAGTTAATCTCAAGGCTATGCAGATGTACAGCGACTACATCAACCCGAACAAGATCTCGACTAACGACATTGCTGCGATGCTAGAGCACTACGGTGTTGAAGCCTGCCGAGCAACAATTATTCAAGAACTGTCCGGGGTCTTCGGAGGCCACGGTATCGCCGTGGACAACCGCCATCTGAACCTCATTGCTGATTTTATGACGAGGGGCGGCGGCTTCAGTCCTTTCAATCGCAATGGCCTGAAGGGCAGTGTCAGTCCTTTCTTGAAGATGAGCTTTGAGACGACTATTGGGTTCCTCAAGGACGCCGTAATGGACGGTGACTGGGATGATCTGAGAAGCCCCAGCGCGAGAATAGTGATTGGGAGAACTAGCAAAGTTGGAACTGGAGCCTTTGATGTTTTGACAAAGGTCCCCGTTGACAGCGACACCGACCATGTGATGTCAGGTTGAGGTATTACTGGTGCGACTTGGGCTGCTTAGATCATTAAATTTTGGCGCGAAGGAGTGGGCAGTTATTACGGGCAGGTTATTGATGGTTTTTGCAAGTGATTGGAAAAATAGAAGCTGTGTATGTAAAAACGATAAGTGTTTTGTTCAAACAGCCGCTCACGATTTATTTGGAGATATGCACTGTGAGACTGACTATGAATTTGATAAATTTGCTCTGTCGGAAATATATTTCTCCGACTTAAAAATCCGGGTGAATTTAATACGTGGTATGGTGCCATAAACGGCCCGGCGATATTAATTTTTGTCCGAGACACTGTCACACAGAAAGCTCCGAGCTCGCCCCAAGAGTCATAGGGCGGCAACTTTCTCCCCCACTACCTTCCGCTCCCTCTCCCTCCCACTTACACTCCCAGACCGCCAATTCATGAAGTACCAGTCAGTACTGCAGTTAAGCCTACCAACGACCGTCAATTGCAGCTCATAGTTGAGGAAGATGGCAGCTGCGAAGGCCAATGGAGGGCCTACGAGGATTTCTATCCTTGGCAACGAGGATATCGTCGTGGATTTCGACATATGGCGCTCGTTCGTCGTAGGGGATTTACTAGAGAATCTTAAATCTTCTACCTATGTCCTCATTACCGACACCAACCTTGGGGGACTCTATGTCGAAAGCTTCGAGACGGCATTCCGCGAATCCACTTCGAAACTCGAATCCCCGCCTCGCCTTCTAGTTTACGAGATCCCACCAGGAGAGAGCTCAAAAGGGCGAGCGACCAAGGCAGAAATTGAAGATTGGATGCTATCGCACCAGTGTACAAGAGACACTGTGATCATTGCACTTGGTGGAGGCGTCATTGGCGACATGATAGGATATGTGGCGGCCACTTTCATGCGCGGGGTACGCTTCGTACAAGTCCCGACTACGTTACTTGCCATGGTCGACTCCTCAATAGGCGGGAAAACAGCAATTGATACCCCGCTAGGAAAGAATCTCATTGGGGCGTTCTGGCAACCACAGCGTATTTATATCGACTTGCGCTTCCTCGAAACCCTCCCTATTCGAGAATTCATAAATGGCATGGCAGAGGTTATCAAGACCGCCGCCATATGGGATGAGGCGGAATTTTCAACCCTTGAGAGCAACGCAACCTTGATTATGGAGACTATTCGCTCTCCTTCAAATGATCCGTCGAGCCGCCTTGCGCCAATTCGAGATATCTTGAAGAGAATTGTACTTGGATCTGCTCGCGTCAAGGCAGAGGTTGTGTCCGCCGATGAAAGAGAGGGAGGTTTGAGAAATCTACTGAACTTTGGCCATTCCATTGGCCACGCCTTCGAAGCCATACTGACGCCACAAGTCCTGCATGGCGAAGCTGTGGCCATTGGTATGGTGAAAGAGGCCGAGTTAGCTCGCTATCTAGGTGTCCTAAAGCCGGGGGCGGTTGCTAGACTGGTAAAGTGCATATCAAGCTATGAACTTCCGACGTCCCTTGACGACAGTCTTGTTAAGAAACGGACAGCTGGTAAGAAATGCCCGGTTGATGTTCTATTGAACAAGATGGCAGTAGATAAGAAGAACGATGGCAGGAAGAAAAAGATCGTTCTCTTATCGGCTATTGGGAAGACGCATGAGCAGAAAGCCAGCGTTGTGGAGGATGGGGCCATCCGGATCATACTCTCAAAGTCGATAGTTGTTACCCCTGGTATCCCAAAGTCTCTCAGTGTCGAAGTAACTCCACCTGGATCCAAAAGCGTATCGAATCGGGCGCTGGTCATGGCAGCTCTCGGATTAGGGCCGTGTCGCATTCGAAATCTTCTCCACTCGGACGATACCGAAGTTATGCTCACCGCAATTGGCAAACTAGGCGGTGCCACATACTCGTGGGAAGATGAAGGGGAGGTGCTTTTGGTGAATGGAAAGGGCGGTGATTTGCGTGCAAGCCCCTCAGAATTGTACTTGGGCAACGCCGGAACTGCATCGCGCTTCTTAACAACGGTTGCAGCTCTTTGCAAGCCGTCGACAGTCGGCTCCACAGTCCTGACCGGGAACTCTCGAATGAAAGTGAGGCCTATTGGTCCCTTGGTAGAATCTCTCCGGGAAAATGGGGTGGAAATTAAATACTTGGAGAAGGAAAAAAGCTTACCGATCGATATCGCTGCGTCAGGAGGCTTTGTCGGTGGGACCATTGAGTTGGCCGCAACTGTATCCTCCCAATACGTCTCATCACTCTTGATGTGTGCGCCATATGCGAAGAATCCCGTTACCTTACGCCTTGTCGGTGGTAAACCGATATCGCAGCCCTACATCGACATGACCACAGCAATGATGGCAGCTTTTGGCATAACAGTCACAAGATCGGATACCGAGGAACACACGTACCATATCCCACAAGGTGTTTACCAAAATCCGGCAGAGTACACTATTGAGAGCGATGCCAGTTCGGCCACCTACCCGCTAGCAATTGCAGCCATATCAGGTACAACTTGCACCATCCCTAATATTGGATCGAGCTCTTTGCAGGGCGACTCTCGGTTTGCGGTTGATGTTTTGCGCCCAATGGGTTGCGAGGTTAAGCAAACCGCAACATCAACTACTGTCACTGGCCCTCCCCCTGGCGGGCTGAAGGGATTGGAAGATATCGACATGGAACCAATGACAGATGCATTCCTAACAGCCTCTGTTCTTGCTGCTGTGTCAAAGGGAACAACAAAGATTCGAGGAATTGCCAATCAACGAGTCAAAGAGTGCAACCGCATCAAGGCTATGAAGGACGAGCTTAAGAAGTTCGGGGTAGAGTGCCGCGAGACCGACGACGGCATTGAAGTTGACGGGAAGCCTATAGGGACGTTGTTGAATCCTGAGCAGGGGGTCTTCTGCTACGATGACCATCGCGTGGCCATGAGCTTCAGTGTTCTAGCCACGGCTGTTCCGGAACCGACTCTAATCCTCGAAAGGGAATGCACAGCAAAAACTTGGCCAGGATGGTGGGATGTTATGTCCTTGTTCTTCAAAGTGCAACTGTCAGGCCAGGAAGTCGACGAAGGTCGTTTGCACCAAGAAACCAAGCCCGTGTCGTCAGATCGGTCTATCTTTATCGTCGGCATGAGGGGTGCAGGCAAGACCACTGCAGGTGGCTGGGCTTCTGCTCAACTGGGTCGGCCTCTTCTGGACCTCGACCAGCTCCTGGAACAAACGATCGGAATGACAATACCGGAACTAATTAAATCTCGAGGCTGGGAAGCATTCCGTGATGAAGAATTGACGCTTTTGAAGCGTGTCATGGTGGAGAAGCCCAACGGATACGTATTCGCATGCGGTGGTGGAGTCGTAGAGATTCCGGAAGCTCGTGACCTTCTCATAAATTACCACAAAAGTGGTGGAATTGTTCTTTTGGTCCATCGCGACACTGAGAACGTCATGAGTTACCTTAAAATCGACAAATCTCGCCCTGCTTACGTCGAGGACATGATGGGCGTATATGTTCGCCGAAAGCCTTGGTTCCAAGCTTGCTCCAACTTTCAGTACCATAGCCAGACCACCGAGAACGGGGGTCTCACCCTCGCAAGGGACAACTTTTTACGCTTCCTGTCCATAACAACAGGCGGAAGCACTCACTTTGACGAGATTAAGGCTAAGAAGCACTCCTTTTTTGTGTCCCTCACTATGCCAGACGCGGCGAAGATGCTTGACGTTCTGCCAGAGGTTGTTGTTGGATCCGATGCAGTGGAACTTCGAGTTGATTTACTTGTTGATCCTGCTTCTGAGGATGGGATCCCGACGCTTGACTTCGTCTATGAGCAAGTGTCTCTACTGAGATCGGCCATTTCACTGCCTCTAATCTTTACCATTCGGACCGTTGGACAAGGAGGTCGCTTCCCCAACGATGCACACTCTCAAGCTTTGGCACTCTACAAAGCTGCCATCCGAATGGCAATTGAATATATCGACGTGGAGATACAGTTCCCAACAGAACTACTTCAAACGGTTTGCTCTAACAAGGGGCTGTCCAAGATCATTGCTTCGCACCACGATCCTTCCGGTACCTTGTCCTGGAAGAATGCTGGCTGGGCTCAGTACTACAACAGAGCTCTTGAGTACGGAGATATTGTCAAGCTTGTCGGTGTGGCTAAGTCCATGGATGATAATTTTGCGCTAGCAAAATTCAAGAATGACATGTCCCATGAGACGCCGCTCATCGCAATCAACATGGGTGCCAAGGGGAAATTAAGCCGTGTCTTGAATGGCTTCATGACTCCAGTCTCGCACCCTGCACTCCCCTTCAAGGCTGCGCCTGGTCAGTTATCCGCAACGGAGATCCGCAGTGGTCTGTCTCTGCTTGGAGAGCTCGAGCCGCAAAACTACTATCTTTTTGGCAAACCAATCTCGGCTTCTCGCTCCCCTGCCCTGCACAACAAGTTGTTCAAGCAGAATGGACTGTCAGATGTCTACGGCTTGTTCGAGACAGACGTTGCTCAGGACATTGAGCAGGTACTTAAATCAGAGTCATTTGGCGGGGCAAGCGTGACAATCCCGTTGAAGCTAGACGTTATTCCACTCCTAGACAATCTTTCCGAGGCAGCCAAGGCCATTGGGGCAGTCAACACTATCGCCAAGGTACGTTCGTCGACGAACTCAACCACTCTCTTTGGCGACAACACGGACTGGATCGGGATCCAGAAGACTTTGGCGGCCGCAGGGTCTCAACCGGGCTCCGGGTTGATTATTGGATCTGGAGGTACTGCAAGAGCCGCGATCTTCGCATTGCAGTCCACGGGCTATAGCCCAGTCTATATTGTCGCACGATCCCCATCCAAGGTCGATGAGCTCGTTTCGTCCTTCCCTGGGCTCATCCACATTCGCAACGCTGAGGAGGCGCAGTCTCTTAAGAGCCTGCCAAGCGTCGCTGTTGGAACTATTCCATCATCGAAACCCATTGATGCCGGAATCAGGGAGATTCTAGTCTCCATCTTCCACCATAAGGAAGCTGGTGATGCTCAGCGTGTTCTCCTCGAGATGGCTTATACAGCCTCGAGCACAACGGCGCTGATGAACATGGCAACCGATGCTGGCTGGAAGGCTGTTGAGGGAGCTGAGGCCCTGATCTGGCAGGGTATCGAGCAGTTCCGTATTTGGACTGGTATTTCGCCCGAGTATAAGGATGCTCGTGCAGCTGTCATTGGAGAGTGATGCGCATTAGATATGTCGCAGTAGGTGTCCGACCACCGCCCGGAGTCGTTGGTTAAGGGCGTATAAGGAAGGATATTGGAAGGTATTGGTTGAAAAATTATGTTTATGGTGTCCAGAAGGGACTTGGTTGTTGGTAGATGTTATTTAGATTCACTTATAGCTAAATCCGACATTACTTCTGCTCGTTTCGTAATTTTAAAGGACTTGTACAACAGTAGTCAGTGCACAACTTCAGCGTCTTGCCTCTTTCCTTGTTCAAACCAGCTTCCCTCCATCATCTGAGGAGGAAGGCACGTGTTCAGTCTCCCGTGTATTGTTCAGCTTACACTCTGCTTCAGACAAGGTTCGGTCAACGTACTATTCTCACAGCTCATCATGATATTTACCTTGTGTCGTATTCAATGTCTATTTAAATCACAGCTTCTGTATTGGGAAAGGTGCTTCTGTGGCTTATAGTAATACTAATTATCTTGTTTTGTATGTAATATATATATAAATAACCCATCATCCGACTGCATTGTTATACAACAAAGAGTACAAGCGCCATCCCATCTCTTATACACATTATTCGTTTAAATTTCCCAAGTCCCCTTTACCCACCTATCTATTGAGTTGAAACACCATGCCGACCCAAAGAGATTCATAAAAGTAAAAAAAAGTAAAATAGCACGCCTTCTATCGCCAATTGGTACAAGTCGCATTCAGCACCCGCCAACTGCGATGAACATGTTTTTGATGACTCTTCTATGACAGATTACCAACCCAAACTCCAAATGGCCCGAAGCCTAAAACAAATCGCTATGCTGCATTATGAACGCTTAAAAAAAGGGTTGTAACATGTACAGTAGAAGTATTAGAAGTCTTGATATGAAAAGCATTATCCGTGCGTCGTCGCTGACGTCATGATCGGCACCGGTGTTACCGAAACCCCGTTATTTGCGCCCATGACGTCCACAATGCGACGGCCTGATGTCACTGAAACATCGGATTGGATCATCAAACACGTCGTCTGGTCTTGCCAGGGAAGTCGATCTCGGGGTGTACAACGCGCATATGCCGTGTTAGAGCATCATTGCGACTGAAGGTCTTCTCCTCGGTACAGAACTGGCAGTGTACCTTCTGCTTGCGCGCGTTGTGAATAGTGTCTTCGTGTCTCGTGAGATCGTAAGGGCGTGAGAAAATGGCGTTGCACGGTTTGCCCGTGGACGGGTTAATCCGCTCGCATTTGTGAGGGCCTGCTTGAGAATTGCGAAGAAGCGCCGCTGATGTCATGCCGCTGCCAGCATCGCTGCTGGCACGGCGAGCGCTAGTGGTAACCCCGCTAATCAGTGGAGCCGATTGGCGATGTCCCTCACGCTTGTGCTTCTGGAGTTTTGCTGGCGTCTCAAATCGCAGTGTGCATCCATGGTACGTGCAAGTGTACGTCCCACTGTCGGCATTCGATCTTGCAGGCTTTTTGAGCTCTGACGCATCTGTTGCATATTCGCCGTTGCTCGACTCCACAGACGGCAGGGCGACCGGCAGCTGAGATGATCGATCCGCCAAGTTCTGCGCCTGTTGTCGCTGCTGCAGAACAAACTGGTATTGCTGCTGCGGCATTTGTGTCGCGCCAGGTACCGATGGAGGAGCAAAGGCAAAGCTGCGGTTGCGAGGCGTCGCCTGGGATGAATTATTTGAGTATGCCGAGGAACTTGGCCGACGGCTCGTCATCATGCTCGCAAAGCTTTGCTGCGAAGAGGTATCATCGAGTTCCTGCGATTCTTGGGGGGATGGCTTTTGGAATCGGTATTGCTGGGTCTGGGGGAACAGCGGCATTGCCGCGTCCTCCTCGGTACCATGATACTCGAGTACTGCATCCTTCGGCGAAATAGTCTTTGGCGTAGATTGCTCTGGAGATGACCTCCTAATTTGCTCCTCCAAGACGCGTGCATCGTTCTCTGCCTTCTGTTGCTCTCGCATGTGTGCTGCAGTGCCCAGACGAATCTGCTGTGTCGACGACTGTGAATTGAATCCTCGGTGCGGTAATGGCGCGAGAGGGGAGCCTTGTCGGAACGGAGACCGTCTGCGAGACTGGTTTCCGAGTGGTTGCTGAGTTGAGGCACTCAAGTGTTGGCTGTTCGCAGCTTGCAGTCTTTGAGAAAATACGTCCGAGCTCTGGGAAGGCGAGAGCATCCTCGACTCCTGCGACGGGGCCGCCGATGTGAATGTGAAGTTTGGGCTGTACAGCTCATCGTTGTAAGCATCTGACATTGTCCTGTCAAGCTTTGGTATCGCATTCGAGTTGTGGTACTCTGAGTCGGGGTAAAACTGTGAGCTGCTGCCCATCCAACGATCCTGGAGGGTAGAAATCTCACCAGCTTTGCGATTCGGCTCATCGAATCCATTGCCAATTGGCGTCGCTGGGGAGCCTTGAGTGCTTGCGACGGATGGGCGACCTGAGTGTCCGTAGTCTGGAACCGACATCGTCTCGTCGTCCCTCATCATCGCGTGCTTGTCCATTGGCATCATGGAGTTGTAGTTTGTAGGTGTGCCGTAAGTGTGGAAGTTGTAATTCTGCTGGAAGGCGGCTGGTAGGTACTGGTCTTGCGTATGCGATGGCGTCTTGGAGAAGTTGTAATAAGTCGCTTGGTCAGCAACCGGTAGGCCTTCATAGTACGTCTCCCCACCAGCTGAGTCTGGTGGGAGAGCGACCTGTGGGTGAGACGTGTTGTAGTTGTAGGGGGATGCCGGTCCAGCAGAGCCCAGGGAAGACTGCGACGACTCGCGCTGGTGGCTGCGAGCTGATGTCGGCGTCAGCTTTCCGTTTGCGAAGTGCCAGCTGTTTGAGACGCCGGATTGTTCGGACTGCATCAGTTGATCTTCTTGCCAAATATCGTCGCTGCCGAAGCCTTCGGGCTCTGAAGAGGCGTAGCTGTCACTCCCGAGTTGACCGAAGAATTGGTTCTGAGAAGGAGACGGATAGTCGAGAAGCTGATGATCGAAGGAAGTTTGGTTTGGTGAAGAGTAGTTGGAGTGATCGACGAGCGAGGGGGTGGTGGCGATTGTGGGTAATAGCTGGCGTCTCGGGTATGATTGTGATGTGGAAGGTGCTAAGAGCATAACTTTTTTGATGATGGACCTTTTGCCTTTTGAGTGAGAGGGGCGAGACCCTTTATATACGGGTGGCAAAAAGTGCGGGAGGGTAGCGGAAGTGAGGAAGGAGACGTATTCGTGTGTACTTCTAAGAGTACGGAGTGGTGGTTGTAGGTAGCCAAGTCCCTGGGATAGGACTCGGTATCGATGGGGGGGGGGGGGACGTGCTTAGCGCGGATGCAAGGGCCAACGATGAATGGCGGGGTTGGTGACTGCGATGGACTACGATGATGACTCGAACCCCTTGGCCGTGCTTAGTGTTTGATTAGTGTACACTGTAGACTCTTTTTTCCTTGTGGGTGTATACGTGTATACGGCGAGTAGGCGGGTAGAAGTGCGCGTCGTGTGGCAAAGATGGTTCTCGGTGGTTCGGTGGTTCTGTGGTTCTCGGCGGTGCCTCCGGGCTTAGATGGTCATGTGATAGGGGAGAGTGTGTTGGTTATTGGTGGTAGTGTGGTGTAGTGTGGTGTAGTGTGGTGAGTAACTCTAGTGCGGTAGGCAGAAGAGAATGTTGTTGGATGAGAAGATGAGGTAAAGTAACGAGGGACAAAGATGTGAGTGTGAGTGTGAGTGTGTGAGTGGTGTGTATGTGCGTGTATGCGTGTATGTGTGTTGCGTATTCGTTGGGAGAGGTACGTATAGCAAGTATAGTAAGTATAGTAAGTAGTAGTAGTAGAGTGGGTATTGATGGGAGAATGATGAGGGAGAAAAAAAAGACAAGATGAGAAGGTGGCGATGTTTATTCCTTTAAAGCCATGTTCATGTTCATGTCTTTTTTTTCGATATCGCATGTACGGGATGGGTATGCATGTACTATGTAATTATTATGCAGTACAGGGGGGGTCTAATGGATGGGAAAAGTGTGGTGCATTGAAATTTTCAAGACCCAGATGCAGTCTGCAATGTGCAATGTGCAATATGCAGGTTATCATTTTTTTCTCGATGTGTTGTATACCCAGAATAGATACATGGTGTAGTAGAGTGGTACGTACTAAAGATCTACGTTTTTTTCCCTAGATGGTTGATGTGCATGGAGGGATTTCGCATATTTTGCATTGGGGGGGGATGGGAGTGGGATGGGGAATATTCGGCGGCTTGGGTGGTGTTGGGTGTCTTGGGTGTATTGGCTGTCTTGGTGTTGTGCTTGGGTGTCTTGGGTTGTGTGGTATGTGTGGTAGGAATACGTAGTGTGTGGGTAGTGTATGGCTCGGATTCGCGAGCGATGACGCATCTTCTACATTTTCGACAGGGGTGTCTTAGGTTCGATGACTGTAGTGGAGGTGGTGGAGATGTGCGATGGAGGGTGGGAGACATGCATGGTGGGTGATGGTGGGCGATGGTGGGCGATGGTGGCCGATGGAGTACGGTGATGGGCGATGGTGGGCGGAGCAATTCGGTACTTGTCTACACAGAATGGTACTTGGCTACGTGAGCGCGTGGCTGCGTGGATGACTTGTGGATGACTGTGGATGACTGTGGATGACTGTGGCTAGTTGTGGCTAGTTGTGCCTAATTGTGGCTGGTACGTATCTTCGTAAAAGCACTCTGTGTGGGTGTAAAGTGGGTGCAAGCGGAATTTCCTGAACGTGTCAAGCTGACTTTCCGACTTCTTTTTTTAAACAACCCTGCAGCACCTAAACAATGGTACTTGACCCGTGCCTCGTGACATGTACAGCCGAAGTACTCCCACTAATATTACTACTATTACTAAACATTTCTCCCACCTGCCAACGCTTGGTCATACTTGGTAATACTTGGTCGACTTCCAACTAACTGCCAACTCATGTACTGCCCTACCAACCCCCTACCAACCCCCTACCAACCCGCATCCGGAGCGCGGATCTAGCCCGCGTGGGTACTCTGTTGAGTTGTGTAGGACGGACTCGAGTACGACCCAAGCTGTGATGCACAGACCACACACCACACACCAAGCGTCTGAGATTGTGGCTGAACAGAGATTTCACTGCCTGTCGTCTTATCCGTGTGGTTCGCATACTGACCATGGGAGTGCCACGGGGCGCCATGGGGCTTGACATGTGTGGCTGACTCCCGCAAAAAAGTGCCACATGTCCCGGAAGTCCCAGCTCACAACGGTCCCACGTTGTCGTCTTCCCCGTGTCTGGCCGCTTTTCCTCCTCCTGTTTTCCTCACCGATCTTCGCTCCCTCGCTTCAACCCAGCTACTGTCTCTCCCTCCCCCCCCCCCATGCACGGCTGGCCGCACACTCCCTTGCTGGCCTGACACTTTTTTGACATGCGACTCCCGGACTTGTATCCCTAACTCCCGGCCCTAACTGCCAGACAGTCCCCCGACGGCGGTCGCTCGTTACCTCCGTTCTCGCTCACTCCGGTCCCATCCGCGCCCACTGTAAACGTCCGCTGTAAACGTCCCGGGCTGTAAACAGGCAGCGGGAGAATTGACCCTAATGCACATCCCCCTACGGAGTTATGACAACTGCCCTTCAACACCTCCGACCGTCCGGTTGGCCGGAGTCGCCCACACACGTCAGCTCCCTCCGTCTGTTTGTGTCTCTCTCCCGCCCAATTTTCGCTCTCACTTATTCCGCTATCTCCGCGGGGATCATTACTCCATCCCGTACATTACTGCATCCCGCACTTTTGGCCAGACCTTTTTTGTCGCATATGACGCTCTTGGCGTGTTTTCTGCTGTAGGTACTGTTCCACAGGGCCGGGTTAGCGGCTTTGATGCGGTCGGTTAGGTTTGTTGGGTTTCTCGGGGTCAGCGATCGAATCTAGATCTACTAACATCGACACTATACTGCTTTAGGCAATATTCTGGAAGTCTCTGCGTTGTGACGTTGCACGCTTGTCCCTTGCTGATTAAGCGGCCCCGGTCCTTCCGCCATCAGTGACACTCCACGGGCACGGTGATTTTCGTTGTTGGGACTCGATCCCTGTTCATGCAACATTCAGTCTCAACCATCCTTCTCATTTTTCCGTCTCTATTGCCTTGGTTTGCTTCCGCATTCCATGACATAGTATGTTTAGGATGTGTGTATGTGGTGGATATTTATTTACCCATTAGCTCCGGTGGTGGTTTCAGTCGCACATAGGAGTAGTGAAGTTGCAGGGAAAACCTATGCGATGGTGGGCGATGAGTGAGAACAAATAATCCACCATCAGTTACTTTATAGATCTAAATGCCTCGTATTCGATATCAGTAATACAGGCACGGTGTCGAACTATTGATTTTTACTTGCAGATATGTAACGTTGGTATAGTAAAGCTGATAAATTATTATACTGCGGAATATATATTTTATATTTTTAGGTCAACTTAAAAAATATTACCACGGACAACACGAGTAAAATTATCCACACACATTTAGATCTCCACAGTCACAGATACGAGAACCAAGTAGCAGAATATATGGCCATTTGCAAGTAGTAACTATAATACACCAGAAAACTCGAAGAGATAAACAGAACAGTAAAACGCAAGCGCGACTATTATTTCCATGTAATTAGTGATATAATACGACAACTGATACAGCCCAGGCGAGAACATTCCTGCCTGCCAACCGCACGTGTATTTGGAATTTCAGCACTTCCGAGTTTACAAGTAGTATAAATGCCTCGACCAGCGTGACTCTGAAATATGTCTCCAGCCTTATAGTTTCCGGCCGTGAATACGAGTTGTATTCATGCTTATTTAATAGCCGGACGCAACTCAAGATTATCGTCGGCCAAATCACAGCCACGACAGCCTCATCCCACAGAATAATCGAGTAAAGTTACGACACGAGATACCGACTACCAATACTCGTACCTACGTACAGAGCCTGATAGACAGGGCCGAGAAGTAAACAGGACGCGCATCTCGCATTTCACAAGTCACGATACGAGTATTGGGCGGAACAAATAATCACGGGCAAGCAGAAAGACGCGTCATGTGCATTTGGTGGATTTCATTATCTCGTGGGCCACCAGCCCATACCAGAAGAGTCCCCATATCCGTATGGTACAATACTTTAACACCTAAAAAGCAAACCCGTGTCCCATTGTCATCAGTGACCGCCGCACCCGCAGATTCCACCCCAGCCCATAGCCAGGGGAAGAAGATTCGTAAGAGAACATGAAAAGAAGACGCTTAACCACCGAAACCGTACAGGGTGCGACCCTGCCTCTTGAGCGCGTACACAACATCCAGCGAAGTGACGGTCTTGCGCTTGGCGTGCTCTGTGTATGTGACGGCATCACGGATGACACCCTCAAGGAAGGTCTTCAAGACACCACGGGTCTCCTCGTAGATCACTGGGGGAAAGATGTTAGAGAGTGAAGAGAAGAATCAATTGGAGCAGCGACAACTTACTGGCTGAGATACGCTTGACACCACCACGACGCGCAAGACGTCTGATAGCGGGCTTTGTGATACCCTGGATGTTGTCACGAAGAATCTTGCGGTGACGCTTGGCTCCACCCTTTCCGAGACCCTTGCCACCTTTTCCGCCTGAGTGAAGCGCGTCAGTACGATGTTTGGAAGAAGACGCGTCGCCCGAAGGCAACTGCAATGACGACAGGATGGGAGGGAGAGTACTTACGTCCAGTCATATTGAAAGTTGTTGTTGGTGAAGAGAAGTGGTTGGTGTATGGGTGTGGCGGAAATGAACCTTGTTGATGGTGATAGTCGTGGGTATTGTTGGTCGAGATATTGAGAGAAGAGAGGAGTGCTTGGAGTGGGGTGGCCGTGAGGTATAAGAAGTCGTAGGCGTTGGGACGGATCACGCAAATTAGGCGAGTTTGGGGATATGGAAGGCGCGTCTCAGGATCAGTGATTTCGGGGGATACGCTAGTCCTAATTGGCGCAATATTGAAGCGAGGAGTTTACTGGCTGGACTGTGGGGTTAGCAGCAGTCATGGGAATGCGAACAGCGTGAACAGTGAGATTTACACTTGACCTTCACATTTCGCGAGGCATAGTAGATACAGCAGAGGGTACATTACGGCAATCTCATAGTAAATTCACATAAACCCCAAAAATATGCTCATCCTGTGCCGGCCGTAGATTACTACACTACTATTACTGATATTGTTTTGATGTAAATATATAAATCACGTGCATAGTCAGTCCTCAGTGTATGGTACGTACACACGCGTAAACAAACAATGGGAGCAGTGGCTGCGGTGTTGATTCGCTAAGAGCGTGAAATCGATAGCATGTCGAGTATCTGATTGGCTGCAGACCGAGCCAAAACTTCACGTTCGATTTTCGCTAAATCTATTATCGCTCCTTATCACTCCCCAAATCACGCTAAGACATACTACCGGTAACAGAAGTAGCCTAACCCGCAAAACTGCCTATCCGCGCCTGCCTTGCGCCATACAAAAAACCATAACAACTGACAATCGAATCACCCACGCTAAGCGAATGCAGACCGCCAATACAAATACCCACCACTCCCACATCCTTCGCCTCTTCCTCTTCTTCCATCAACAACTCCACTTTCGACCAACGATAATCAACCATCCACTTCATCAACAACCCCATAACATCCATCATCATCAACAATGGCTCGTACCAAGCAAACTGCCCGTAAGTTATCACTCTATTCTTCGACCATCGATCGACTTCACCTTTTGGTGGGGCTTCGATCGCGATCGCGATGACCTCGCGTCAACTTCACATCAACACGTGCTAACAACGCAACAGGTAAGTCCACTGGTGGCAAGGCTCCCCGCAAGCAGCTCGCATCCAAGGCCGCACGCAAGTCCGCGCCATCGACCGGAGGTGTCAAGAAGCCCCACAGATACAAGCCAGGTAAGCTCATTATGCATCATCATAATCATACATGAACAATATTCTAACAAGCCTTGAAGGAACTGTCGCTCTCCGTGAGATCCGTCGTTACCAGAAGTCGACTGAGCTCCTGATCCGCAAGCTCCCCTTCCAGCGTCTCGTCCGTGAGATCGCCCAGGACTTCAAGTCCGATCTCCGCTTCCAGTCTTCCGCCATCGGCGCTCTCCAAGAGTCCGTTGAGGCCTACCTCGTCTCCCTCTTCGAGGACACCAACCTGTGCGCCATCCACGCCAAGCGTGTTACCATCCAGTCCAAGGATATCCAACTCGCCCGCCGCCTCCGTGGTGAGCGTTCTTAAATTTCTACTTGGGTTCTCGACTATCAAGATCATGCCTGATGTACGCGCAATTGCCTTGACCGCATGCCTACGGGTTTGGGTGGGATATTGAGATCGCACGTTTGGTATTGATCTGGTGGATGCAATAATGGTTACGGGGTGGGGTTTATGGGTTCGGCAATGGAGTTATCTGCCTTCGGATTTGCGTTTTGCACAAAGGGTGTGTACATTACTCGACCAGCGATAGTGCGCTGAGTCTTATGACAAATAGATGACGAATCACGATTCTTCATCACCTTCAAACAAAACCATGAGCACCACCAATACATTGACACGTGACGTGACTGTAAAAATACCAATAATAAAAACGGCAATTCACTATGAACGGCGACCCCAGGATTGTTTATGGTTGTTTGCAGGCGCGTGTAGAAATGCATATCAAGTATCTGGCGTGACGCGTCTTCAAAAGGGGACACACAATATGCTCGTACCGTCCAAAACTCTCTAAAGACGGACGACCTCAACTGAGGATTGATGTCCAACATTTAAGGTGACAGAACATGTTTTCTTTACCTCTATTTATGAGTGAGTGACTGGATTATTGATCGCAGGCCTAAGTGATTGTGCGCATTTACTTAAATTATAGTTACTGTAATTACTAACGTAAGTCATGGTGTAAGCGGCGATATGGCGTAAGCGGCGATAAGTACCCTTACATATAAATTTGTATGCAAAGGTACTTCTACATCCGAAACTAAAAACTTAAATAGCTCTATAGACAAAAATTATTAGGCTTAGCTGTTCGATATTTAGGTTCTATATATAGGCCTTTACTTAACATAAAAACACTAGTGTTACTAGTGTCTTTTTGCAACGCTAATTTAAG